TGTGTGTATATATATATATATATATATATATATATCTAATGTATCATCTTTGTCGTGGTCAGCCCAAGGTGAATCCTGGTTTGATCAATGAAGTGATCTCTTCGATTCTAACCTGCCCTACCCCATGTTGATTGATTATAAGAAGGCCAAGATCGATTCATTGCAGGTATCTTCATGTTGGGCTGGTCCTAGTCAAGCAAAGTCATACAGTAAAAAAAAAAAATCTCTCAAAATATATATAAAAAAAATATTTACTATTTTTATATCAAATACTGTGTACAATGGTTTGTTAGTAGTTGATAGTCTAGGTGTCAACATACAGGTGTTTGTTGACCCCAACCGATTCCTAAATGAGATGCAACACTTGGGTAAGCTGGTAAGTTTTGGCTTGTAGAGTTAGCGAAATTTCTTTTACTGATTTGGTAAGTTTGGCTCAAGGCTGATGTTGGAGGCTCTTGTAATTGGCAGGAGTCATGGAATCTCTCAGTGACCTCCACCACTTCCCTTTTGTCTCTTCTCAACTGTCTGAATTCACTTTATGCATTCGTATATGTGGACTCCAAGAAGGAGTGAGATGTAGTTGGGAGGTAATTGGTATTTCATCTACATGTCATCTCCATTGTTTTTGGTCCTGAGAAATTAAATTAAATTCATAATTTTGGGGAATTCCCTCATGGAAGATCAGTGCAGGCATCACTCTGCCTGGTTACTTCTAATTTCTTTTATTACCATCTCCCACCAGTGCTCTCCAGTAGGAGTGGGCAGCTCCTTCAACCTCCTTAATGTCCTGTCTGTGCCTGCTACCCTTCAGTGGTTACAGGTAGCTCCTCCTCCTTTGATCGCTCTTCTGTGCCTGTCACCTCCACCATTCAGTCAAAGACTAATTAAAAAAAAATTATTGTTCCAAATGCTGTCACTTTATTTAGTGAATTGACACAACAATTGGCTTTCTCACCTTTGACCCAAGGGACACTTTCCCAGGGAAAATTTTTCAACTCACATTATGGGGACAATTTGTTCAGCCGAAGGTCAACATATCTGCAGGTGTTCAGCTTAGTTTTCAACCCTAACATCTCTGCAAAAGGATTTTATTTGTAATTAACATTTAATCCAATTCTACTCATGTCGATTTCACAAGCACTGTTTGTCAAATACTGTGAACACTTGGCCCATCGTACAAACCAAGCATTGCTCTCAGCCGGTCACCTGGTCATTTTATAAACCTCAATTCTCTGGGAATCAATTGTTATCAGTCTATCATTCCTGATATTAATTTAATCCTTTCCATGGTAGTTTATTCATCAATATCTCGTTTTTGTTGATATTCCAAGTCCTTATTATTAATTACCTGCAACCCAAATAGTGTTTTTATATATATATATATATATATATAAAATGCATGAGAGATTTTTAGTATCTCATATTTTTAATTTTCTAATCTGGCAATCCTGACTTAAAGGCCTCACAAAACAATATTGGACATTTTGAGAACTTAAATTCTTTATAGGATTTTTTAAAAAAATCCTTCAGATTCAAAGTTGATAAATCTGGTAATTTGATTTTGTTACTCTTGAAAGTTTATATGCTGAATGAAAAAAGTATTTAATCCTGAATGCATAATAGTTCAGACAAAACAAGATTCAGATTAATCTGCTATGTCTTTTAGAAAATGATCACTTTTTTTAAAAAAGGAAAATGGAAAAAATATTTGAGCAATATTATTTCTTTTATCACCTGAAACATTAATTTTGTTTGGAACGTTAAAGCCATTATATATCACTTCGTATTTATAAAATTTATAATTATACCCAAATAAATTAGGGGAGGCTACACCATAAGTAGCATTTAATATATCTAGTAATCTCCCTTGAAAAATCCAAACCTTTTGGGCGAATATGAATCGAACTCTAGTATTCAAATTTGACTTCTTCAAGATATATCATTTTATTAGTATTGTACTAACAAAAATGCAGCTATTATGTTTTGTTTTAACTGCTTTACGGTAATAAGTAACATTATAAAAATTCTCAATGAGTAAATTATTAAATAAAGGAAACTATAAATAGTACATAATATCTATGGAGTTATCTTTTAAGAGAAATAGTATAATCTAGGATGAATGTGAATGAAGCCTACACATTGAAGTTGCAATTTAGACTTAGTTATTTTATCTTCCAAGTTAGATGATTTTTAACAGTATTGTGCTAACAAAAATCTTGCTCCGATATGCTGTTTTTGCCCTGTTATGGTAGCAAATCTACAATTAAATCCTATAATATAGAGACAGATATACATTAATAAATTTAGATTTTTAAATTCTATTAGCTAGTATTTGTAAGTTTTTGACAGCAATTTTTCCATTTTTTTTTTCTTTACTCCCAAGTTTTTGTCATTTGTGAAGTGGTCTCTTAAAGTGAAATGTGTATAAGTTAGTATTTTTTTTCCCCACAGCCTGTCAATTTAAATTTGCCAAAATGAGATTTTCTACTCTTTTTTTTTTATCTACACAGGTGTTTGAAAATGTATTATTGTTGAATTTTATAAGAATAATTGTAAAATTGCTCGGATATATTTTTAAACAGGTTTTTCCTCTAACCTTTTAAGCAATATATATATATATATATATATATATATATATATATATATATATATATATATATATATTCCTTTGTGAGAATATAAGGACCATACAAGTCATTATTAAAAGTTTGAATATTTAACTATAAAAAGCTGAAATTTAAAAAAAATTTATATGTATACTGTCCTAATTTCCTTAGAAATTAAATTTTTTAAAAAAATTAACATTGTTAAATAGCACATTAATTTCTTATTACAAGCCTTATTTAATCATATTTCTTAAGAGATCAAATTTAATTTTCTTAAAATGTTATCAAACTTTATATTCAAATGCATTTGCTAATTTTCTATAATGTCCCAGAAGGATAATACTGTTAACAATTTGAATCTTAGAGAGTGGTGCTTTGTAAATTTACACATTTGTTGCAGATTTCAGTTTTTATTGACAACACTTAATTTTTTTTTTTTTTTAAACTTCAATACTTTTCAGATAACCTCTGTAAGTTATGATGCTAATGATTTTATTTTGCAGCTCATAAAATGCATCTCTGATCACCCAAGTTTAATTTTCTCTGTATTCGCAACCCATTGTACTTGTAGAGAAACTTGAAGATACTATCTAAAGCTGACTTAAGATATTAAAATTTTAATTTTTCCAAAGTTTATTATATTCCAAAATAATAAAATAAAAATAAAGTTCTGAACTTAGTGATTATTTTTTAATTTATATTTGTTCTCGTATGTAATCAGATTTAAGAGATAAGGTCAATGTGACTTCAGTGTTAACATGTTTTTGATTATAAACTTTACCAGATAAAGAATTTTGATGGTTTCAAATGAGTGATGGTAGATAAAGCAATACTTATAAAATTAGTCTTTGCTCTATAAACTTTGTCAAGCATATATATCCCCATTCCCCATCATCAGTAATGCTTTAACAGCATCAGAAATGAATGTTGATGGTATGCCAATAGAAGCTGAACATTCTTGCAGAGAGTTAAGAACCCATACTTGAAGGGACTACTTTCTGGGTGGAGACTTGCAAACTATAGTAAAGGCTGTTTCAATAACTTGGACCGATTTTAAATGTGAATTAAGTTTAAGCATCTAATGAGTGGCGGTGTGATGCTGAAGCCATGGCAGACATTTGTGCAATATTATTTTTCACACATTATTGCCATGACTTAAATAACATGATCCAATAGAGAAATAAATAAATTTTTCACCAATAACACAGATTTATTTACATCTGACTTTGATCTATCTTAATGAAACACCCTTAATTCACATTTAAAATCTGTCCAAGTTATTGGAACACCCTTTATAAACCAGACCTATAACTGATCACTTTCTTCCTTTAGTGCAAACTGCATCTATGTTTCTCTATCTTATACATTGAGATTTTTGTTCTATAAAATTTATATTAAACATTAAATGACATAATAAAGGTTGATATCTGATTAAATTAACCAACATAATTGAATTAGCCCACTACCCAAAAATTTGGCCAAACGTCAACATTTCTATTTGGAATCCTTTCTTGGTTGGGATAAGAAGTTTTAAGTATTTGTGTGTCTGTGTGCACACACGCACACACAAAACTTGAGCAATGTTTTGATCTTTGATAAAATTTAAATAGATTCAGGGGTCTCTTGGATATGTTAACATATCATCCTTGTCAGTCTCATGACTGGGTGTGGTTGTAGAGTTACTGTGCCACTCACCAACTCCATCTCTGTTCAATCCAAAGTCTGAGTCCCTGTTAATGGATAATGATCCTCATAACTAATTAATCCTGTGTGAAGGTTCCTGTTTTTGAACATGTCATTTTATTTTAAAATATGCACTTGATAAGTGTGTAAATTGGAGCCAGAATTATTTCCACATTGATATAAATATTAAGACAAAATATTGTCTCATTAATGAGTATAATCTATTTTTGATCTTTTAAGCAATTTGTGAGCTGTGAAATATAGTGTTTTAAAACTGACTTGATGCATGTCATAAATGATTACAGTTGATGAATTGTTTAATTTTTATTTGGTTTTTCATATTCTAATTTTGACCTTTTTTAGTTACACAGCATGCAAGATACATTCTTGCTTTTTATTTTTAGTGTTTATTTTTACCTTGTTTATTTTTGCCTTATTTTTTTTATTTTCCTTCAATTTTACCTCAGAATGTCATCTGAATTAAGGATAGTTTTATCCAAGATTTTCTTGCTTACTTGTGTTGTATACATGACCATTTGTAGAATAGTTTAATTATTGAATATTTGCACACGTTGTTCTCTTCAAATTGTGATGAAGTTATTTTCTTAACCATAATATCTGCCCCTGATCATATTAATGGAGGTAGTGATGACAGGTTAAATAAGATCCAATAATGACAAACATTTCTTGACCAACTACTATTTGTTGTAGCATCAAACTCAGAGGCCAGGGAGACAAGTCACTGGTCAGAATGCAGCAAGTGTTGGCATTTTGTCTTTGGTCAAAAACGGAAAGGTGAGACAAATCCAGTTGGATCTTGTGGATCCATTTTCTTCTTGCTGACAGTACTACTATTACTGCTGTGGATGTCAATCATAATGATTCTAATGTCTGACACAAGAATGCATTTAATCAAAATGAGTCAAGTCTGCTCTTTTCTTTTGGGTTAGAACTCCTTTGTGCATGCTATGAAGGACATCTTCCAGTTAGATATGAGGAAGAAGTTTGCCTATATAGTTTCTACATATCCTGTTTTGTTGTTCATCTATAAACAGGCACACAATATTAGAATTGGTGAATGTTCTATATTCAGTCTTGAGATATATATATACATATATATATAATATTAGAAAAAAAAAATATGACAAACCTGTGGATTTTTCTTTCAAAAAGTTTTATTTGTGTTTTTTTTATATATATAATAATAAACAGAAAGAACAGTAAGATATATAATCCAGTATTCTTATTGATATTTTTATTTTTACAAAACAGTGATCAATGTAAATTTACAGAGCATAAATATTATAAATTAACTGATTTAAAATATGGTTTCTTTGCTACACAGGAATTACCATGTTTCAAAAACCAAAGCTAAAAACTTCAAATTTAATTATATAATTAAATTAAAAGCATTAGTTATGTCTCATCTTCAAGCGAATTTTGGAATAACTTATTTTAAAATTTACTGAGTTTTAAACACACATACAATTCATAATTTTTTGTTTTCAAGGATACAGGGAAATCCAATCATTTAGACAGGGGTGGTAGCATGTTCATTTTTATTAGCTATTATTGTATCAATTTAGAAATAATCTTTAAGTATACAAGTACGAATTTAACGGGGAAAAAAAATGCCAAAAAACGTTGTCATTGATTTAAAAAAAAAAAAAAAAAAAAAAGACCACATGCATTGAACGGATGTCAAAATTTGTTGAAAAATGTACCCCTACTCTACCTAGACTTAAGCTCTATTTCGAATGTAACTTATAATTGATACAATAATAGTATCAAATTAGTATCAAAGTTTAAAAAATCTTAGAGAAATGGTTATCCATTAAAATAGTTTGGAAGTGGTCAGTCACTTTGAAATACCAAAACCAGTTAGATTTGGTGTGACCATCAATAATAAATATCATTTAAGACATTCACTAAGTGAAGGCAGTTTTGATAAGATCAAATTCATAGAGCATCAAATGCTGACTGGTTTGTTCAATTAGTTCAAAGCATTATTTAAGTGATCAAATGAATTGCTTATCAAAAAGCCAGAAAACAATATTAGCTTGAACCAGCTCAAGAATGTTTTCTCTTAGGAATATAAGATACATGTTTGTTCCATTAACTACTAAAGTAATGAAATTAATTTGTCCCTTTACTGTATACAAACCAAAATTATCAACTGGAGAAAAATTTAGTTCCTTCCTATATTCAGCCACGCATTAACCTGTAATAGATTTTATTCCAATAATTTGGGTAATCATAAATAACATTTAAATTTAAAAGAACCAGTATTTGAATATTACTTTTAAAAAAAAAAAAAAAAAAACTTTGTCCACAGGTTTGTTTTTTTTCTGCAGTTCAATTTACATGCTCAGAATTTTGCATGCTGACGCTCTCTTCTGCATGTTATTTTTACACTTAAGCAGTATTTTCTTTTCTTTTAAACTCTGGTAATGTGACACTTTACAGAAATTCAGTTACTTTTAGTAAAATGGAGCAAATTTAAATCCCTTAGTAAAATAGAACAAATTGAAAAAAATTAATCATTTAACATTTCATACAAAATATGTGCTTGCTATGTGCTTTTAATTATAAAGTATTATGATTTTTCTGAATTTTTTTTTTTTGCAGCAGTATCAGCTCTAAATACAATAGATATCAGAAAGGTTTTATTATTATAAATTCCCAAATTATTTTTAATATGATATATTAGACAACGTTAAAATGTTCTTTAAAAAATCTAATTTGGCAATTTTCAAACTAATTTTTAGGGAAAAACAAAATAATTTTTTGTAATTCTTACCTTTTTGAACTATAGAAAAGTTGATAAATTAATAAAACCTGAAATTATGAATTTCTTCATTTAAACAAAATTTTCATTCTTTATACATTATTGAAATTTAAAAAATTAAAATGCATTAGTCATGAATTCTATCTGCTCTTTTATTTTTATTTATTTATTTATTTTTTTTTTTTTTTTGAGAAAATTGGTTATTAATGTACATAACTAAGATGAATTATTTCTGTTCAAATGTGAAACTTTTCTTGTTCATGTGTTTAATTTATGATTGGTAATGCAACTTTTTAAAATTAAAAATTGTAATTTCAAATTCTGAACTTGAAATACTTCCTTTGCTTATTGTTGTCTCATCCTATTATCAATATTCAATCTTGTTAAAGTTTATCAAAATATTTTAAGTTATTTTCGGTATTCATTTCTACAGAAGTAGTGTTACCCTATTGAAAAAATAATAATATTCTGATTTCTCAAATCAGAAAAAACACCAAACGATTTGTGTAACTGAAAACTATTTTTATAACTAAGGTACAGTTCTTTTTTATAGAACTATAACAAACTTGTGAGGCTGATATATTTAAAAGAATTAAGTTAAGAATAATTGTAATCTTAATGATAGTACAATTTCAATTCTCTTTGCAAATTTTATTTTAGATTTTTTTGACAAATTTCTTTTTTGGCTTTTAGTTAAGCTTCATGAAATTTGTCATTGCTATGATTTTCCTTTGCATTTTTTTTTTTTTTTTTTTTTTTTTTTTTTGTTAAATTCAGATATGAAATAAGTATAAAAGTTACAAAGAGCTGTTAAATAAATCAAATGTATATTTACTACCCAGCACAAGTATTGGACTGATAGCCTTCAGCTGATTGTAAATTTTAATAAGTTGGCCTGTTCCGCCTGCAGTTGAAATGGGTTCTGTCCATTGAGTTCTATATAAACTTATGGGTTTTCCACTGGGGTGCTATAAATCTGTTTGTTTTAAGCCCAATCCCTAGGTAACCTCCCTCCTCCTCCAAGCAGTAGCTTTCCCTCAGGATGGGACAGGGCTGGGTTTATTGTCACCAAAAGGGGAAGTGCTGAGGGGACTTGGCGAAGTTTCACAAAGTATAGCCATTAAACCCACTTTAAACCTTGACCTTGTGTCACATCAAGTTGCGATGTGGGTGTCCTGGTAAATACATAAATACAAAAAGCAGCAATAAGATTGAGAAAAACTAGTAACTTTAGTGAAACTTTATATCCTATTGTGACAAAATTGAACTAGGATAATATTTGAAAATGTCATGATCATAAAAATTAATTATAGTGTCAAAAATAATTTTAATAAAATAATTATAACAATTATAATTATCATTAATTCACTCATTCTAAACTAATAAGAATCAATCTCACTTTTCTCCTCTACACATACATAAACATGTGACATTCTCACAATCAGACAGGGCCTCAACACATGTGTCAATGAAATTTTTGGCTCCTTTTCCTTTTTCAGGCCATAATAATAACATTTATCTCTTAGTACTCAACAAAACTTTGAGGTAAGAAAACCCCAGACACTTCATGTATTTTCCAACTAAATTCTCTGGACACTCATTACATACATCTATAAAAAAAATAACTTATGAGAAAGATTGTATGGAACCTGCATATTCTTTATGTGATCCTTTTGTCAGATTCCGATTAACAATTGATCTACATTTGACCCCAAACTCACAATTTTACTCTGTATTACTCTCTCTCATTTCTCCAACACCACATAACAACCAGATGATAATACTCATTTCATTGTTTCTGTGTCTGTTTCTCATTTTTATGAGTTTAAATGTAAGGAGGTTTATAATTATTTACTGTTATAACTCCCCTACAAAGAAAAAAAATCATTGTGCATTTTTCTGAATGCCAAACTTTATAAATAACTTCATTACAGTCAGTAAATGTTTGAATACTCATTTTGTTAGTCTCATAATCTAAAGCATGCTTGTAGAAATTGTAGACTGTTTACAATATATAAATGAATGATTTCTTTGCATACAGATCAATTTTGGAGTTAGTTTATATATTGACATAATGGTCAGAGTAGATAAATTTTATATTTTAGCTCTGCTCTATTGATGATGATGATCTCTCTTTACCTCAAGTTTCCCATGTTTTAACTGTTTTTGATGCAACAGACTATAACAACTGGATTGTAAATAATTTTATTTTATGGAGTAAAATCTCTTGGAGTGCACTTCCTATGATAGGATAGCCAGTTTAATTTTATATCAGTTCAATTTTGGAATCTTACTTTAGCATTATAACTAAGGAGTTCCTTTTGTAGGTCTATTCCTTTTGTATAGTAAATTTAATTTTCCTTAGGTACATTGCTGCTGTACCATTTTCAATCAAAATTTATTTGATATTTGTAATGTACCTCTTGAGTTAGATTTTTAACTAGTGCCAGAGATTAGTATTCAAGCTAACATAAAATTGGCATGTTCAATGCTGAGTCAAGCTTTCTTTATTTGAAAGATTGGCAAAACATTTTATTCCCAGCTGTACAATTGAAGTCTAAGCCTTGTCAATGTTAATAAAAAATCTTAATTTTTAGATAGAAAATACCTCAGAAATATCAAAGTGAATAAGCAATTTTTTTTTTTTTTTTTTTTTAAGTTTTGGTCCAACTTCTGTAATGGAGTCCCACAGCACTAAATTTCATTAAAGGCTTATGGTCATATCATGTTGAAATACTGGTTCTCATATGTTAAGCAATGACAAGCCTGGTCAGTATCCAGATGAGTAACTGCCTGGGAATACCAGGTGCTGTAAGCTTTGAAGTGCAGGTGGTGCAATGGATAATGGCTCAGAATTGGAAATCAGTTTACTTAAATATTTACTTACTCACAAAATGCCCTTGGGAAAGGGTATGAATCTACCTCTTCTCTCTCAGCTATGGGATAATGAGTAGAACTTGTACCATTAAAAATCATTATTATACCCCCCCCCCAAATTCTTAACATCTAAAAATGTTTTCTGGCTTTAAATAACCTGCAAAACGTTGATAAGCTGTAAAATAAAAAAACAGATAAATTACTCAATCTATACTTCATTGGAATCTCCAGGAAAATTTGGACATGTATTCCAAAGTGCACACATTTCTCTAGAGTTGTATTTTATACATTTTTTATCTAAAGTTAGAAAAAGAGATTATGTTATTTTTATTCTAATTATCAAACTGCACATCATATTTAATTTTTTTTTTACTTAATTTTACTGAGGTTTCTATTATTTGTGTACAGTCATGAGACATAATCAAACACTTAATTTTTTTTATTTTTAACACTTTGAAAGACCATGAGATTTGTTTTTTTTTTTTTTTTTGTTTTTTTTTTGTGAATACCTGATATTTAGGACTCTGGCAATTTTGAAAATGCTTGCAAGACTATTTTTCTTTGTCAATAGATAAACAATATCTTTCTATATGACATCTTTGAGAGTTGATGTACAGAAAGGTAATTTGATATTTTTGGGATATCAAATAAACCATGAAGACATTCCTACCAAAATCTTTAATCTCCAACATTCTGTGTTGGAGGCATGTAATTTTACAAATGACAAAATGTTTCTTGATTATTATTCTCCTTGATGCATAAACAGACACCATGCATTTTTATCCAAGAACTACTCAGCAGAATGACCTTCAACTTTTCAAGTATTTATTCCAAATTTAAAAAAAAAAATGCCACCAGTAAGTTATACAATCTAAGCTATAAACTTTTCATTTTGTAACTTTGAAAACTGCCTCATCCCTCTTCAGATGCAATAGAATTTTCTGATGAGCTGCCTTGTGATTCCACAGACTCTGTATTACAATTGAACAAATACAATTTGTACTGTAAGTATTGTTTTGAAGGTATAAATGGTTGTCATCTTTGTTCTTCAGTTTGTCACACTGTTTTTATCCATTGCCATTGCTAGTATTTTTTCATTTGACCATTTCACAAATGTTGTTTTTTTTTTTTTTTTTTTTTAATTGTGAAAATACTTTTGCTTGACAGCATTTTTCCCTAAGGTCATAGAATTTATTTGTTGAAAAGCTTTGTATGATGACTTGAGAGGTGAGCTATTTCTGAAAGCAATTAAATCATTAAATTTTCTGTGTCTATGTAAATTTCCATAACTGTTTTCTACAACCTTAGAGAAACTTACCGCTGTCAAACCTGCACTCTCCCATTTGCAGCCTCCAAAATAGCCTTTTTGCTTATTTTTATTTTTTTTCAAAAAACACTGCTTAACAGGAATTTCAAATGCCTTTTCCTGCCTTGTTTCCAGACAAAATGTAGTTTTGTCCTTATTTTTCCACTTAGGCTTGCTGCTAGATTTCAATTTTTTTTTATTTTTAGGCTTCCCCATATGTGTTTGTATAATTTTAGATGACAAAAAAAAAATTTTTTTTTTTTTTTAATTTAATCTTTTACAAATTTTTAAGATGCCAAAATGACCCTTTCATTGAAATTGCATTAAAACAAATTTCATGAAGATTGCTCAAAAATAATGCCTCCTATCTTATATCACAACTAGCAGTATAATCCATCTTCGACCAGGTGTTTCATTACTGGGAATTTTTGTCATTCACTTGGAGCAGTTTAAGGTTAGTCAACCCACCCGAAAATCAATATTGGTAACAACAATTGGGTGCAACTGAGGTATATTCCGAAATGGGGGGAGAGTAACAATTAGAATGGCAGGGGTAGCCCCGAAAAGGGCCTTTTGCATTCTCAATCAAGGAAGGAACCTCTTCCATGGGCTATCATAATAAAGATATATGATAATTTTTATTTATTTATTTTTTTTTTTTTTATGTTTTGTATTAACTCTTTAAATTGATTGTATGGTGTTTTTTTACAGAGATTAAATTTTGCCTTTGATTTTTGTGCAAAGTGTAAAAAAAAAAATCAATTTTTTTTCGATTTTTCACCTTCAAGGTTGTAACTTTTTACAGCCAATTTGGACTCAAAACCAGCACTGAAGAATTATCTATCAAACAAAAAAAAATTTCAGCGAAATCAGATGAAAGCTTTAGAAATGCATAAACACACATAGATACATACACACACATTTTGAGAATTATAGATATAGATATCAGATGGATGTTGGTGGTAAGTAGTAGTTATGTTACAGGTAGTAGCAGGCTGACATTTGATGTGAAAGTACACACAAATTAGTAAAGGTATGCCATTGAATTCTTCCATGCATAATAAAAATTGCACCCATTGACATTCACCAAGGCTTGCTGTAGATTTACAGAAACGAAATAGTGGATGTGACCTCAGTTAGCGGATTTCAGTCATGGCACTACATAACTGTTAATCCATGAAATAAAAGGCTCTTTCATTTCTGGTGAAAATGCACAGCCAATGAGTGTGACTATAGAAAATATCTAGCTGATCACTTTCTCTGTCTAAATGTTCTTGTGTCCCCTGTATAGTGTAGTTCTTATGGAAATAAATAGGAGGCATTAATTTCAGAGCATCCCTTGATATTTAGTTGCTATTTCAAATGGATAATTTAAATGATTGTCATATTTTTATTACAATAACAAAACTTAGCTTATTTGCTTTCAAAATGTTGGTATATGACTTTGGCTGAATGTTTTGGGACTTAACTGTATCATCACAAAATGAAGAAAGTGTACTAAATCATTGATTAGTCATAATTACAATGTCATACATTAGATGGATTGTTTATAATCAAGTTTGAGATAAGAAAAAATCTGACCACCTACACACTTTTTTTTTTTTTTTTTTAATGAAATGAATAATTCTTTATATTAACTTTGTAGAATTACTCAAGCTATGATATGAAATCTTTGGCCAGAAACTTTTAATAACATCAATTTGTTGACAACACAGTGACTGTCTCATACATGTTTCTGTGTGTCGTATATGTTTGCTTGTATTTTTTCTTTCTAGATCAATTGAAGGTGAGTATTGATGATCATAGTTTTATGTTGTTTGTACCAACATCTGTACAAAGCTGGTGAAAGTCCTATTAAAAATTTACCTGAAAGAACTGAACTTGAAACCATGAAACTTGAATGAGAAACTAAGTGTGACTCATTTATTTTCTAAATATTCTCTCTTAATCCTCTTTCTGGGCAGCATTAAATCACTTAGAATAATCTCTGTATGTCTATCTTTTGAAAGATCTTTTTATAAAGTCACATGTTCAACTTTGTTTTTAACTGTAATTGAACAGGAGATTTTTTTTTTAATTTCTCTCCTTTCCCTTTAGGATAGATGAATATTTTCCTACTTTTTTTTAATCTCTTGATTTTTTTTTTTTTTCTTTTAGCAAATACAATTTGAACATTGTTCCTTTCATTTAGCTCAGTTACAAGTCATAAGTTTTTAAAACAGCAAGTAGAATTTTTTTTTTTATGTAATGTAATGTTTTCTTTTAATAGTATAAGTTTTGAAACGATTTGAAGAACAATATATACAGAGGAATCCCTCGATTAGTGTGAATAATATGTACATTAAAAGATATGCACTAATCAAATACACATTAATCAATTATAATAACTTATAGGAAATGATGTAATTTGCATCTTAAATTTTACTTTCATTCACAATTTTTAATTTGCATACTTTTTAATTAAAATATAGGTGCATATAAGATTAATACTTATTAATGTGATTTTTTTTTTTATGAATAATTTATTTAGAATGGTTTGTCACATGGTATTCTTGTGTTCTTTATATAATTGGTGGCACTGAGAAATTGCCCTTTAAATTTTCGAAACATATCAATCATTAAAAAATAAACATGAAAAAATAAAAAATATTATTAGACAAATATGTATTTTTATTATCAGCTTATATTATAAAATTTATCTATTTATAACTATTTTTTTTTTTTTTTTTTCAACACTACTGTAATTACTTAGATAACATAATACTTGACAAACAAAACAGTTATGCATTTTCCATTTTTAAATTTTAAATTTTAGAACATTTTTAAATAATCAGAATAAGAAAAAAAAATCAATTTTCAATCACTGTTTAACCTGAAAAAAGTTTTACTGCACTAATCAAGTATTATGTACACACTAATCAAAAACACATTAATCAAGGAATTCGTGTGTGTATGCCTCCAGAGATTTACTTAAAAAAAAAAGAAAAAAAATGTCCCAAACTTAATAAAAAACAGTTTTATTGTCAATATCTTTATTAATAAGAGGAAAGACAAAAGGGTTCTTTATTATTAAATTGTATTTTTAATACTTTTTAGAACCTTCAAAATTTTGGTTGAAAATTTTCTCACATCAACATGTGACCATAAATAAGTATGGGAAATTTGAATGTGAAAAACATTGATTTCAAAATTCTTGCAAAAATCAAATAATTGTCAGATTTTAATGGAACTTACAGTACTTAGTCACAAATTAAACTAGAAATTTAGTTTTAAAGGAACTCTAAAGCTTTTGTTCCTGCAGATAAACATTATGTACTTAAATATATGAATTTCATTTAAAATTAGTTTCATTTATAGCATGAGAACAAAAGAGAAAACTAATTATTTTAACCTTAGTTTAATATTCACAAAAAACACAAACAAAAAATGTACAGTGATATATAAAGTTTTTTGATAATTTTTCAGTACATTGCAATAACAAAATTGGCAAACTAGTTTTATAATGGGAGAATATGATCTATATTTTATATATCAAAATATGTGTAATTGAATGACAAAATTTTTAAAAAATTTCTCATTCAGTTTTGTAAAAAAAAAAAGACTGACCATGTTTTCAAGAACTTTAATATTTTGTGTAATAGGACTTTAACTGTTTTTTTTTTTTGTTTTTTTGTTGTTTTTTTTGCTTTGACACCTTTCTCCAAATTTTCTTAAATCTCTAGCAAATGAAGAGGATGAAAAATTCATGGTTGAATGGTTTCAACTCATCAATGAAAAGAATGAACTTATTCGCAGAGAAAATGATTTAATCTATCAGTAAGTTTGTTTTGCCTTTTTATTTGAATATGTACTCTATTAAAAGTGATGAAAATATTTAATCTAATGTTGTACACCATGTCAAACCCTGTGAGAAAATTTGTATAATGCCTGGTAACAATAAATTACAACTTTAATATGCTCAGGTTTCTAGAATACTCTTTCCATTTTATCAATGGACACACAATATTCATGTGAAGTCTTATCATTTTGTTACTGATGGTCATATCAGTATATGATTGTTACTGATCTTAAAGATGGCTGAAGTTTGTAGACTTTAATTAAGATACTGTTATGGTTCATTAATGGAAGATAAGTTTGAATACTACCAGAGTAGGCTGATTCCAGTAAAACCCAATCTTGCATCAAGTGATCAAGAAAATATATTTTCTGAATGAGTAACAAATGTCTGCAGTAATGGTTTTCTCGAATCCTAGTAACTCTCTAGTGAGACATACAGGTCATATCCTACCAAATATATGTAGAGATCTTTTGTAATTGAAGTCCTGATTTTGGTATTGTTATCAGCTTACCAAATGTTAATAACAATTACTTCTGCATTTATTCACACAATGTTCATTTCTGTTCTTCCTTGATAATCTTGCAATGAAATCTTCATTTTTGGTTCATATTCTCTTGCAAATATTTGTGCTCTATTCTCTAGTGAAGGTTCATGAAGTAATTTGATAATTGTGTCTAATATATAAGTACATACATTTTTAAAATTATATCACCCCATGTAAGGCAGTAAAGTCACTAAGACACAAGGGGTTAATGAGTGTGAATAATAAAAAGGAGAAACATGAAGGAGCAAGAACAATAGAAGAGTATTCAAGAAGACCATAGATAACAATTGACATTGTATTTCTGGAAAGCATGAAGCCAGAGGAGTTCCTCAAGTGAGAGAAAAGAAACTGTTAGCATAGAACTTAAGATTATATCTGGCCAGTTCAATTGTGAATTGGTGAGACCTTGCTGCCAATCTAGTACTGCACTTACATTCATAAAGTCTACGTACCATAGTGAAGACTTTATTCAAACAATTACCATGAAAGTATTTGTAGAAAAGGCACAGGGAAACTACATTATGGCGGTGTGAAAGTGCCTGAAACTGAGACACAAGGTCAGGACCAATAATATTGCTGATTCTTATTTTGGATTTTATCAAGAATCTCTAAATATACAGCAGGAACACCAGACCATATATGACAGTAATATTCTAAGTATTGGCAAATGGTAGACTTATAAATATATAAGATAGATTCAGGAGAGAAAAATTTTCTAGCATGATGGAGTGAACCAACATTCTTAGCAACAGACCTAGCAATGGATTCAACATAATCTTTCCATTTTATTATGTGCTCAATCTTAGATGCAAGTCAACACACAAGTTTCCAAAGTTACCATCATTAAAATGATTAGTTTTCCAGATTGAAGCTTATAAAAATGATCAAACACCAACAGCACTTACACCATAATTGCACTTTGGTGTACAGCATAAATATTCGTTATTAGTGGTGCATTTAAAGAGATTCATACAGAATGTTGTAGTAAGAAAGTTCCTCATTAATGTCCGTTTCCCATTGGATTAAGCATTTCTATAAATTATGCAAAGATTGAGAAAACAGATGATAAACTAAATCTAGATTTTATCTATTTCACCATAATTTTGCAGTTTCTAAAATTTATGCAGTCTTACTTTTGAAACAATCTATTTTGTGCAGAAGCAGAGGGGGTTGCAGTTTGTCCAGGGTTGCATGCATTTTTTGCACTAGTAACATTAGAGAAAATGGCTTACTTCCAAAATGAAAATGGATTTGAATGTCTCACATGTAAACTAACCAAAAACGAAAAATGTTGTCTTCACAGGTAATGCATTTAAAACAGATGAATCCCAGAGTCATATGCTCTCTTACAAGAGTATCTTTTCATATATGTAAATTTTGGCTGTCAATGAGGATATAAAATAGAGCATACTGAGGTGACCTGCAGAACAGTTACTGCTGTATCGAGTAGGAGAGCGCTGTGATATGGAGGAATTGACTGAAGGAAACGGATTGCAGGAATTGTTTACAAGCCAGAAGAAACAAGTTTACAAACTTTTTTCTGCACTGATTGACATTATTTAGAGTGCTGTATATGTCTTTGTGTAGTTCTCCACAATTCATAAAAATGATAGCTACTGATTGTAACATGAATGCATTCCTTTACCCTCTTAAAACATTTGTTGGAGCACCACTTGCACACCAGCTGCAGCAATGATGTTATTACAAAAAGATAGCTTTATGGAACATGACACTCTTAAAAATGGTTTTAAATTCAATTAAACTAGTTAGTCTCTTTGTAATATACCTCAACGTAAAAGAATGAGTTCTTCCTGCTTCTTGGCTAAGATCAATCGATATCCTGCCCCCACCCACTATACTAAAATGTCCAGTGTTCCAATCTAAATCTCCACCATGGTACCTAGACTTTATTAATTTAAGCACTGTACTAAATTGGCAACAATGTCTCATCAATTTACAGTTGAATTGCCTTAGATGTAACCATTAAGTTCTGTACTAAAGGTTTCTTTTTTCACACTTCTTGCATGTGAAACTTTCTTCCAGCTCTCCAACTAAATTTGATCTTCAAAAAATTAAATGCAATGTCAATCATTATCAACTGTCTTGATTATTCTTCTATTGTTCTCACTTCTTAATACTGTTTCTCTTTTTTCTTTTATATTCACTAACCCCTTTTGTCTTAGTGGCTTTATTGCATTGTATAGGAGTGAAATGATTTAAAAAAAAAAAAAAATGCATTTTCTCCTCATTTAAGTTTAACAGTTCAGGTTTCTCATCTGGTTGTTTCCTTTTTTTTTTCTCTCTTATCATCCAGTTTGCCCTGGACTGAACTTAGTACATAACAATGTTTTTTTCAATGTTGACAATTTCAGATTTGAATACCTAAGCAATACAAGTCTAAGGAACTTTCAAAAATGATTAAATGCAATAATCAAGAATAAAGGTTACACAATTGATTATTGAAGAAAGAGGGCCAATAATTTTGTCTGATGTTAAATATTTTTGTATTATTGTTTGACATTAAAATAACAAATTTGTTGTGGTCATCACTATCCATTCATGCAAATCTATCATTTGTGAAAGAATTTATGTGAAGTTTCCATGAAAATTTGAGGTATTACTGCTTTATTTGTAACTATGGAATGCGGGGGTGAACATTTGTCTCCAACGGTACTAGAGCTTAATGACTGGAAAGAGTAGAAATTTTGAATTACTTCACTATATCAAATATCTATGAATACTGAATTTAGGTAGTAGTGAAGGATTTCATTTTAGCATGTAAATATATTCCATGTTTTGAAGATCATCCCTGACACATAATGACTATGAATGTGTGTGTGATTTTCTTTTCATTTTTTTTAATATAATGTAACCATTTAAATGATGGTTTCTCTTTCTTCAATTTCATTTTTAAAAATTCTTGTAGATCTCAAGAGCAGGAACTTGAAGAAGAACAGATACAGATTGATAAGGAATTGCAAGCCCTCATGCAGAAACCTTGTATGTATTCATTTATTAAAGATTAACATTTCTGTCATTTTCACCACCGTCTCCCCCCCCTATATAAAACTTAGCTTTTCAGTGTTGATGGGAAATGTTCAGTATTTTTGTTTTAATCTGTTCTTTGTAATATTAATGTCATATTCTGCATTTGCTAGATGAGAAGAAATCAAAAGCAGAGAAAAGAAAAGAAGAAGAATTAATACAAAAGAAAATAAATGTGGTAAATCAACGAAACCTCATAGTGGACAGTATTGATGAGGATCGACTCAGGTATGTATTGCACCATACAATTATAGCAGATATTAAAATTGAATGGATTAAAAAAAAAAACATTTGTGCATCAGGAATTTTAATTCTCCTCTTAAGATTTCCAATCCTATAAAACCACATTCTGATTAAACAATAATGAAACTAGTATCAAAATGAAGTATATTTCTTTCTTTCTAATAAGGTAATGAAGTATATTTATCTCTCTTCAACATTACCAGGGTTGATTGATAAGGTCTCCAATTTTATAAATAGTAAAAAGGCTGTTAGCCTAGATAGAAGAATGGAACTGGTATCAAAATGAAGTGAAACTATTTCTTCTCAAAATTCAAGTTTGTTACTCATACAATGATCATTTTTTTAAACATTCTGTCCACCTTGAATTTTCATCAGTGAAGACAGTTTCTGGTTTACTTTGGTTAAGTTGTAGGTAGCAACTTTAAAAAATTTTTATCCAATGCCACAGTTAATCATTTCAATATCTCTCTGACTTTCAGGAACTCCCTGATGATGTACTATCAGATTAAGATTATACAGAAAGTGTTCCTCATTCATTGAATTACACTGTCTTGATGCAAAAACATCTTTTTCAAGTGTTATTCTATTTGTAAAGTTTCATTACTTTCATATATTGAAATTGATTGTTGTGCAAATTCATCTTAGTAAAACATCTATTCTTATTGCTTCTTCATACCCAAGTCAGACAACAGTAGTCATGACTAACAAATGTTATTACTCAACTGATACTAAGCATATTTGAATAGGACTTCATATACTAGCAGTATGTGCAAGCATGCTTCTATCTCTGTTATCAAGTGACGTCATACAGTACAACTTATCAGTCAACCCTCAAAGAAAAAAAAAATCTCTAGTTGTTTAGTTTCTGTATTAGACATAAAATAGGTAGAATGGAATTTAGCTCTCGCTTCTTATCACTCATTACATATATTGATATCTTCTTCTATCAATGAGGGATTCTTTTTTTAAATCATTTTACCTGCTCCCCTGCCCAGAAATAAGGTGAGGATGCCTCTAAGGCACAAGGGGTTAGTGAAAGTGAAAGGAACTGAGAAAATGTTATTGAAGAAAGGATAAGAAAATGTTGACAATTGATGTTGCATTTAAATTTTTGAAAATCATAGTTCATGACAGAGTAGCAAGCAGATGGAAGTGTGTTCTGCTAACAAGAAGTTCAAGAGAAGAAACTGTTAGAAAAGAATTTACAATTACTTAGCAATTTCAATAGTAAAATGAGGAGTCTGAGCTGCTAATCTTTGCTATGTTTAAATTCATGAAGTCAAAGTACCAAAGAGAAGAACTCACCAGAACAATTGCCATGGAAATCTTTGTAAAAAAAGGGTACAGGAAAGCTATGTTACAGTAGTGGGGAAGGCAATCGAAGATACCAGGTCAGGACCGATGAGATTGCAGATTCTTTTTTGAATTTTGTCCAGAATTTCTAGATACATGTCAGATACAACAGACCGTATGTGGCAAAAACATTCAATCCACAGATAAATCATAGACTTATAAATGTGCAACAGATTCGGGCGAGAAAGATTGTCTTGCATGACACAGTGAGCCAACTTTTCTAGCAGTAGACTTAACAAGTGAATCAATTCCTTGTTCAAGATAAAATTATTTTTCAGAGAATTTTATATGTTAAAAAAAAAAAAAAGGTCATGAATGGTAATTTGATGGTGCAATACCTGGTGAATATGACAGATTAGTGAAAAATCTTTATCCAGACTATAATAATGTTGACTTAGTCACTTAAGAATCATGAAGTATATTTTCTTTTACTTGATTCTTCAGAAGGAACTCATAGTACAGGACCTTATTTCAATTCTATCAGATAAACAGCATCATCAGCTTTGGATAAAGACCGGCCTTTCATGTTTCATAGAGATTTAATTTACTTACCATTTTACTCAAGATCAAAGATAATTTGTATGATTCACATGGAATTGCTGATGCTTTTTTCTTAAATACTTAATTCTATAATTGATACTATGAGAATGTGTTTTTATTTTTATATCAAATTAAAAATTATAACTACCTAGAAAATTATAATTGCTCTCACATACAAGAAATCAATCTCAACAAAGAAAAATTGATTTTTTTTTTTCCTACTTTTTAAGTATTTTTATCTGAACTTTTAGATTTGTTTGTTACACCTGAACGTACCTATTCTGTTATCAATAGACTCTCCCACACATAAGTAGTAGTAGTAGCGGTCGCCAGTTGGGCTCAGTGGAGTTGAGTGAGTCAGTCAGTCAATGTCGGACATTGAAGTATCAACCATCACAACTAGATTGCTGTGTCATTAACTATTTATTTCAAGTTCCTAACGTTTTGTACATCAGACCCTTTTAGGACCGACTTAGCGAAATACAAGCCTCCACTGTGAAAACTCCTCTACAACAATGTTAAAGATATTCATTTTAATGTTTGACTGAAGAACATAAATAGGATATTTTAAAGATTTTATAACTTATTTACCAACCAGTTTTAATATAGTTATATACCCACAATGGCAATTTTTCTTCTAGATTCCTAGATATTTATCCCTTGATATATTGACAGAAAATACATTTGCTGGTCTCTACAATTAGATTGTCATATTTGGAATGGGGTTCAAACAGTCTGGTATTTTGATTTTCTTTAAAAGAATTATTGAAAATAAAAACATTGCTGTAACAAACTTTTATATCTCAATTACAACTAAAGAAAAAACATTTCTATAAAAATAAAAAAGGCCCATTTCTACATGTGATCGCTTGAAATCCAAATTTTAATATAATAAAAGCAATAGGATATTTTTTTATTTTATTTTGTAATATTTTAAATATTCTCTTTATTATATATTTTTTTCTCTGAAGGTACAAAGAAGAAGATGAGGGAATCAAAGAAGTTCTCCAAAGCAAAGGTAGGCAGTTTTTGTTGCTCAATGAACCTAACAAACAAAAGCTGAAGCTATTTTTCCTTAAATGATTGAATGAAGTATTGGGAGATTTTTTTATTTCATGAAATTGAACTTATTAAAATAAGTGGTAATAATTTTTTTCATGAAACATTTTGTCTCTTGAAGCAAAGGTGGGAACATATGCTTAACTATTACAAGTGAATGTCACTTGTAAAAGAACTTGAGTGAGTAAATAAAAAAAAAAACTGACTCTTTATAAAGAACACTTATTGAATTGAATCAGAACATGGAGATATTTTCTTGGCATTAGCAATCTAATTATAAAAATTGCTTTTTTGTATGTTTGATTATGAAGATAACGATTAATTTTATTTTTTTTGAGTTCACCAATATATTTTTTTTGTCATTGCATTGTCTTCAGGCTCTAAATATGCACAGTTTGTAAGTGCAAAGAAAAATAGCTGAAAATTGTTAGTGATAGAATTTCTATGAATTTTGATTAATTTTAAAATCATATTCCTCTCCCTCTTAAATTTGAACTTATTTGGTTACAGTGGAAGTTGTCTTTAAATGCATATAAAAAAAAACTGGACAAAGGTTTAATGAGTGCCTTTAAATTCAGTGTCATATTCTTTATAAAATATAAAAATGCTAACTTCTGTCTGAATTTCTGGGATGCAGGAATATTATTTGTATACAGGCTATTGTCATCTTTCTTATCACATTTTGGCCCTTGTGCTCTCTGGCTACTATCCTTTATTACTGGCTACCATATTGTATTTATTTCTATACTAAGCATACTAAGCTGGTCCTCATAGCCAAGTAGCAGCAGCTGTAATAAAAAAAAAAAAAAAGAAAAAGCTTCAGTGAGTGCATAATAAGCAACAGCAGTCAGGCTAAGGTTTCAGGTACCAGTTCTCTACAGGGCAATAAAGCTAGTGAATTAAAACATCAGCTTGTGACATAGCAATTGTGGGTTCAATCACTGGCCTGATTATTAACTGAACAGTACAAAAGTAAGAACTAGACAAAATGTCCCTGGACACGGGCAATAAAACAAGAACAATCTGCCCCTCTAAATAAAGGGTTCAGTTCAAAATTCTCTGCAAGTTACGGAGATCAATATGCACCTGATGATGGCCAGGGGGCACAACAGTCGAAACATGATAGCAACAACAAAGATGAAGACAATAGTTCACATGCAAATAATAATACTGACTTTTATATCAATGTCTGCAGTTAGTCTTTGAAAATGATTCTACACAGTTTATAGTATATTTATATTAGGTTGGTGCAAAAATAATATCGATTTTTGATGTTAAAAAACACGTCAAAAACTATATTATTTTTGCACTAACCTAATAAAATGTTTAGATATCAAACCAATTTTTGGATACAACATTTTGTAACAGTTTAGTAAATATTTAGGGCAGTGGTCCATAAATATTTTTTGAGTTAGGGACTCCTTTAAGAACCTGATGAAAGCTACAGGCCTCCTTATGCAGAAATATTCACATAAACACAACTTTGCATCCAATTTGTATAATGTACTTCATTTATTGAGATTTTATTGACTCTTATATATGACATACAGAAAGTAGTAATAAACTTTAAAAGGAAACAATCTAAAAAGGATAAAACACTCTATTTTAGCTAAAATATATTAGGGCCACTCATTATAATCATGAAATACAATACTCTTGCACATTAAAAGAAATCTACTACTAAATCTACTCTCTTGTTATCTACTTTATTTCAATGAGGTGGTTGTTTGCCTTTAATAAGAATAAACTCTGGAGTGGGCTTTGACAAGATGACATGAATTTCTTCTTTGACATTCAATTGATTTCAAATTTTCATTTTGATAGAAACAAATACAGAAAAAGCTTGATTTCCAAAGATCATAAAAGGAATTGGAGCTCTAAAAAGCTCTCTTTACCACACAAGGGTAGCTTTTGGTCACTACAAACCAGAATTCTCCAAGACTCTTTGAATTGAATTCATTTCACATTTCTTTTGCCCTGAGGTCATCTTTGGCAAGGTCTTCATAACTGATACAGTCTATGTTGGCTAGGAAAAAATTAAGTGGAAGAGAAAAACTTCATATTCTGCTTGCATTTAAAAAACCTTTTAAAAATGCAATGGTTCAAAACACTTGTTCTGATGAAGTTGAAATATTCATGCTAGTAGACAAGATTTACTTCAGAAATGCTGACCGTGTCTTTGTTGCCAATGCATGCCGATGAAGGTAACAATGACGTGAGATGCCTTTCTTCACTAATGCAGCAAAACCAGATGTGTTACCAAACATCATAGAAATGGTAGTTATGCAAACAATGATGACACATTTTTAAATGGTAAACATGGACCACAACAGCAAGTCAAGAGATGCGAAGAGGTCAGAACTGTAAGTAGTGGCTGGGTGCGTTATCTTTCAAGCAGTGGCATGATGCATTTTATTTTATTTCTTTCAATGAGAAACTGTTGATTGGGACAAGGGCAGTATAATAAACGTCAATTTTTATCTGATCTCACAAGCTCAACACCCCCACCCTTAAACCAGCCATGTACCCCAGGTTAAGAAACCCTGACTTAGGGTCTTGTGTTTATGTAACATCTTTTCTTTCTTTTTTCCAGGATATCTTGGAATTGAGGCAACCTATTGAAACTTCCTGCATTCATATACTTTGTATACAAAAGATGAACTGAAACCGTTTCCTCCAGTTTGCCTATACTTCTTCGTCTCTGGAACTGGATATTTTTTTCTCTTCTGTTGATGAAAAGATAAACCGCCATTAAAATTCCATGACACTAAGAATTTTAAATATTTTATCAAGATTTATCAAATACATTTTACAGTCATAAAACTATTTGACCATTTACTTGTTGAGATGCGTCTCATTTTATCAAGTCAAAAATATTTTGGAAAGATTTTATTTTAATTCTACATATTTAAATACCTCAACATTTTTTTTTTTTATATATGAAGACTTAGCTAAACCCACAATTTTGTATGCTCTTAATTTCAGAGAAATATTTTTATTAACAATATGTCTTGCTTTTCATTTGAGGTCTTGCAAGATTTTGCTGTGACTATGAAAAATGTAAAAACTTTCAAAATGGCCTTTATTTTCTAATATTACTCCTTGAGCAATGATTGTTAACAGTCAACTGAAATATTGGGGTAATACTAGAAGCAATAATTACAAACGGGCTGTATGTAACGTATAATTTAAAATAAAATGACACAGTGGTGAAATCAGTGCTATTTGCAATAATGTTGTGCATCTTGGATTATTTCTGTTTAATAAATATTTGCAATGTGTGTGTTTTATACATAATTTGGTTGACTTATATTGATTAAAATTGACAATGACAAAATAACATGATAATAAAAATTTATTATATTAAATCATTAATTTCAATACATTACTAACATTCTTTCAATTGGTTAGAATGCTCATAAATTCATACAGGAAGAATTGTTCTTTACTGGATAAATTAGTTTAGTAATGTAACTCTCACACACCTACATGTGTGTGTGTATGTATGTATGTATGTATATGTAGAGCTTCTCTTTTTTTTTCAAAACCTTACAATCATAGCAACATCTGCAACCTTTGTCATCAAGAACATTTCCAAACCCCAAAACCTTTTGAATAAGTGATCAGAAATTATGACCAGTTGTACATGTACTAAAAAGTTCCTTTTGAGTTCATTTGAAGTGGGATAAAAAGAAAGTATGTATATTTCATTTAACCCCCACCACACTGATACATTTTCAATACACTTAATTTTTCCCTCCTCCTTACCTTCTACCACACCTCATGTTGTGCACTTATTCATTTATTGATTCTTTTTTAAAAAATAGTGTTCATATTTTTTTTTTTTTTTATTTAAAAATATATATATATATATATATAAGTATTAGTAAATCAATTGACCAAATTCTGTTTTTATATTTTTTTGTAATAAATTTTTGGGGAAAGAATAAGTGGGGGACAGTCTTTGCTTTTCTGCTTCTTCACTTTTCCATCTATTTCTCATCACTCTGCTCTTCTATCTCTTCTTCCTCTTCACTCTGCTCTTCTTCCTCTCTCAGTTGCCCTTTCTTGTTATTAGTGAAATTTTGATTAAAAAGAAGATGATCTATTTCATCAATACCCTTTTCTAAGCCATCTAACTTCTTCTCTAGAACTTTCCTCCTTTCTTCAGCTCCAACAGTATCTTCCTCAATCAAATTATAAACTTTTGGTTGGGCAACATGAGAAGGAAGTTTGGTTTCCAAAGATGTGTGAAGATTACTCATTAGGAAGTGAAGTACACTGTGTGAGAAGTTATCAGAAATTCGATTTATTGCCAGCTGCAAGAAAATAATAATGCTTTAATTATAAACTTTTACAACAAAGTGATATCATAACTTTAATGCATGGACTAATTAATTAATATTGGTTACATGAAGTACAATTACACATTCAAATGGGCTCTTCAGTATGTGTTTCAAAAGTTAATGTGTTTGAAAATGCAATGATTGAAAATTAAAAGGAAAATTTTCTTTTACTTACAAATTATACTATGATTACAATGTTGAATTGAGGAAAATAGAAATTCTGTTAGAAAATAGGGTGTTCATAACAATGTCACTGCATGTTGGGATCAAACACGTCATTTGAATTAATATTTTGAAAGGAAATTCTCTCACCATGTAATACACCACAATATACTTGGGCAATATTCTTGGCATTTCGCTTAAAGACTTCTTTGACTTTTTGCCAAAATCGAGCTCATTTGTTGCTGGAAAAAAAAAAAGTTTTTGTTTATGTACTGTCTGTTTCTGAGATGAGGCATTCTCATTATTTACATTGTTCAGACTGTTGTCCTCTTCTTTACTGTCACATTGATTATGTTTCTGCCATTCTACACTCCAGCTTTCTTCAGGTGATATTTATTGTAATTTCTAATTGAACACATTAATTTGTCCATGATGATAGATTGATGTAATTCTACAGATTTTTTTAATTTTTTTTTTTTTCAGTTATTTTTTTCAGTTAATTCTCTTTGATAATTCAAGGCATAGCATGTGGATTTAGAACACACTACCCATGTGAACTAAGTAAAGGGTTCAACTTGAAATTCCAACAAATGTTGCTGAAAACTGCCAGAATGTACAATGGCTGAAAATGTCATGAATATGATAATAAAGACGAGGACAACAGTCCAAACAAAGTAAATAGTGTAAATAAGACTTACCATTTTTTAGTATTCTAGATAACTGAAGTGACAAAATAAAATAGTATAAATTTTGTTTGAATTTCTGGGATGAGGAGTCATCATTATTCACATTATTTATATTCGGACACTGGAAAGTTAGATGCCTGAACGAATCCGTGCATATGCTAGGCTATGAGGATCTCCTTAGCAGGCCTAACATAGAAATCAGTACAATATGGGAGACGTTAATAAAGAAAAGACAAATGAAAGCAAGTCTTCAGAAGCAGTCAAAACAAGACAGCTAACAGCAGTGGCAGCCTAAGCAACGTTAGGTTTGAAGCTGTAAGCTTACTCCAGTAAATTCTCCTATGGATCTGGTGACAGTGTTTGCAAGTTCAACCCCTGGGTCAGGCAGTGTTGATTTCTACTCAGTGAAAACGGGTGAGCAATAACTGCACAGTACTAAATAACGTAAGAAACTAGATATACCAAGTTAGGAGCAGTGGAATGAGTTCTACCCTCATAGATTAAATAATGGGTTCAATTTAGAATTCCCTGCTGATTATCCAGATCGATATACATCTGAGCAAGGCCTGAGAGCACACTGGTTGAAACTTTGTGATAAACAAAAACAAACAAACAGATAATAACAATAGTCCAAATATAAATAGTGTAAATATAAGTTAGGAAACTAGAAAATATTCAAATAGGTACTATTATTTTCAGTAAAATAAAATCTCTATTTGTATGATAATCTTTAGAAATGAATCATTGAAAGATAGTAATAGCAAGCAGGGTAGCAACTGTAACAAACATCAGTACAAACTTGGTTTTAACCCTTTCGATACAGAGCCTCATATGGAGTTTTAGTGCCAAGAGATGGAGCTCTTTCTGCAAGCCATCACTTGGTAGACAAATTTGATATAAAACACAGAACACAGCAAACTATCTATAATAGAAAGGACCAGATATGCAAGAAATGAGAGAAGCAATCTGATTAGCTGGCTGGTATTGAAGACCAGCCAGATAATCTCAAGGCTCGTATAATCAAGCTAATAGATCAGCCCAGTCATCTAAGGGTTTAAAAAAAAAAATAATCATACAAAGAACCTTAAGCTTTATAATTTTAGTTATCCTGAATCATTAAAGAAAACATTAATTTGCAATATGTTTTTTATAGTGACTTTACAAAAAAGAAAGCTTCTCATTAAATATAAGTGTAAATTATTCATAATTTGACTTTTCATTTGATATAAGTCATGAACTATCTGAAATTTTTATTGAAAACTAGAAAAACTGAAGTGTAAGTACAACCCCTGGTAAAAAATTATGGAATTACACTGTTTTTTGGGGTTTTTTTTAATTTAGCAGTAGATAAACAAATAAGATGCAAAACATTTAGTTAATAGTTGAACATTGTGAATTCATAAATTATACTTTAAATAAACTAGATATAATTTTTAAAAGATATACAGACAGAAATATGGAAAAACCCAATAAGGAAAGAAATTATGGAATCCATCAAGAAAAAAAATATCAGAATTAATACTTAGTTGATCCTCCCAGAATTTTTATTTTCACTAACCTTAATTCTTTCAGGCATGGATTTCACTAATTTAAGGCAAGGATTGACAACTTTTAAATGGCAGTTAATCTTCTTTTGTTGATGGAACCTTCTTATAAACAGTTTCTTTTATTTTCTGCTATAAATTTTCAATTGGATTTAGACTGCTGGCCATGTCAATTTTCTTTTATATCTTTCTGAAGAAAATCTTTAATAATCTCCTTTACTCAATATGTTACTATCTTGAAAAATGACTTCATTAAGAAACCAATTTTCTATCAATTGAATAAGAAAAGTATCCAATATTTGAATGTATACATGTGCATTGATTGTTGAGGTAATGGTTGCCATGACCCCTGGGCCTTTAAATGACATGGGACCTCATATCATGTATGACATAAGAAATGTATTTGTTTCCTTCATGTAGTCATCTTTGTTTCATTTGAATGACACCAGACAAAAATTTCATCATTGCCTTGACCAATGCATCTTCTTGATTCATCTCTGAACATCACTTTCATCCAATCGGCCACATGCAATATTTCCCCTTGAGCTTACTAATCATTTTCTCCTATTTGTGTTTAAATGCTGGTTTTTGTTGAGATTTACATACAAAAAAAATACAAAAAACAATTTCATTCAGCTCATTTCTTACCGTTCTTTCACAAACATTGACTCGGATTTCAACTAATTTGTTTTTCATTTGTTATGCTAGACATTTTCTATTTTCAAAACATATTGCATTGATTTTCCTCTCCTGATGCTTTGATGTCTTTCCTGATCTACCAGTATGTTTTCCTTTTTTAGGCATTCCTTTTCTTTTATATTTGCACCAAATTTTAGACAGCTGAATAGGAACAGCCAATGTCTTTCATAGGAAAATATTGAAGTGACACAACTAAATTAGAACAACCAATGTCTTTCATCACATTCCACTGTAGATTGCATCTCTGAATGGTTTTACAATTCTTTTTATTGTTCCAGTTGACAGTTCTTTTGATGATGTCTGGTTTCCTTTCAATTAGATATGCCTAAAATCTTGCTGAGGTCTGCAAGAACTCTTACCTCTAGACTGATTTGAATCTGCTGGCATTTGTTTTAGGAATGCTAGTAACAAGATTGACATTCTTTTTTCTTCAGTTATTTCATTATATCTTTTCTTTTCTATGGCCTGGAATTAATTATTTCATCTAGTTTGCTTAAGTTATATTTTATGAAGTGTGACGTTCTCCTTCTGGGCTTTATTTTTATTTCTCAACGTGATGCATTTTTGAGAAATACGTCCCAGCTAGTTGGAGAAATTACCTGGAGCGACGCGCCAATCGCTTATTTCGCACTGTCTCCTCACTGCAGATAGATCTTCCAGGGCGGGGTATGAGGCTACCCTGCTTTCCATCCACTCGAAATAAGCAATTAGCGCGTCGCTCCAGGTAATTTCTCCTCTTACCAGCTGGGACGTATTTCTCAAAATGCATCACGTTGAGAAATAAAAATAAAGCCCAGAAGGAGAACGTCACATGGGACTCTCGTCCGGGATTTGTTAAAAAAATATATATACATAGATATACGTATATATACGACCAAGCGTGAACTCATATGATGAATACTTTTTGTGTGTGATAAACCGAAAACCTCGGAAGAAAGAAAAACTACACAACTAATCATCGGAAGAACACATAAAAATTTTTCTTGGAAAAGAAAAACGATACGGTCACCGAAATTCGGGAGTTTGGAAAAATTCATTTGTTCAAAAGCATAGACAACGAGACTTGCTCACGAAAAAACCATAGTGGGGGCTCAGCAGCAAATTTTAAAGAAAGAATCATCGGAACGATTAGTCGGTTAACCTAAATACAAACGAATCAAAATGGATGAAATGGAAGATTTTTTGAAGGAACCGTCACTTGAAAAATTAGAAGCAATGAGGAAGAGCATTCTATTGGAAGTAGGAGAAAAATTCGGGTTAGAGACCAAAAAGGCGATGAGAAAGGAAAAGATAATTCGAATAATAGTCGAACATATGATAGACGAACAGATATTCGAACCGGAGATGTTAGAAAGAATACCTGGAGAACCAACCAAGTTGTCTGCGGAACAAATAGAGTTGGAAAGATACAAAATACAAACGCGATTAGAGTTGGAAAAAGCCAAACTAGAACAAGAAGTGCGTTTGAGGAGATCAGACTGTCGGAGATGGCAAGAGAACCAGGCCATGGCGATTTCGACGTGACTAGGCAAGTCAAAATGGTACCCAAGTTCATGGAAGCGAACGTGGACGAATATTTCCATCACTTTGAAAATACAGCAGTTAACCTTGGTTGGCCGAAGGAAAATGGGCCTTGCTTTTTACAAACAGCACTCGTTGGAAAAGCGCAGAAGGCGTTACCACGCTTTCATCGGAAGAATGCATGAAATACGATATAGTCAAAGGAACCATACTACAGAGCTTCGAACTCATGCCAGAAGCTTATAGGCAGAAGTTCAGAGCATATAGAAAGAACGAGAATCAGTCGTTCAAAGAATTCATCGCAGAAAAGGAAAGACTAATGAACAAGTGGTTCGATGCTAAAAGGGTGGGAAACGATGCTGAAAAAGTAAAACAACTGGCATTACTGGAGGAAATATTAAACGGACTGCCTGAAGAGATGAGGATATACTTGAACGAGAGGAAGATAGATACAGGCAGTGAATTAGCAGTCATAGCGGACGAATATACGATAACACAGAAAAGGGGCAGGAATAAACCCAATATAACTAGTCAAGTAAGCAGGCCAGCAGAACCAACTATGAAAAGGGACAGTTGGACAAGCGACCGGACAACACCAACGAAAAAAATCAACCCAATCACGTGTTATAAATGCGGCCAAGTGGGACATATAGCTATAAAGTGCAAACTAGGACACGGTCCAGAAACGAAGACGACAGGAGAAGCTAAACCACATGGAGGCGTATCATCGTCCCAGGAAAGCAAGATATATCAACCCTATGTGAGGAAAGGGAAGATCGTAGACGAAGAGGGAAACAGCACGCCTGTGACCATTTTGAGGGACACCGGAGCTGCCCAATCCTTAATTCTGGAAAAGAAAGTACCCTACAGTCGAACGATAGGATCCGCATTAATTAAAGGCGTAGGGGGAAAGGCGAAGAAAGTACCCCTGAAGAAAATAAAGTTGATAACAGGAAGAGTAAAAAAGAGGATGGTAGTCGGAGTAGTGAAGACACTCCCCATGAGAAAAATAGACATCCTTTTGGGAAACGAAGCAAAAATCGAGTTAGATTAAATGGATGAAGGAAACCGTGAAGAAGAAGTGAGCAAAGCGGTGCACAGTTACAACCTGAGGAGTAAGAAGAGGACCATGGGTGAAGAAAAGATTCCGTTACTAAATAAGTCATGCGAAGACCTGAAGAACGCTCAGAGACGCGATGACAGTCTGAAAGAACTGTATAAACAAGTGGGTAAACCAACGGACGAAGAACACGCTCAACGGTATTACATGGAAGATGGAATATTGATGAGGAATTACAATAACGCGTGGCAAACAGGGGAAAGGGGAAAGCCATGTCGCCAGATAATCGTGCCGAAGGAATACCGAGAGGAGATGTTGAGATTGGCTCATGAGATTCCATTAGCCGGACATCTGGGCATAAACAAAACCCATGAAAAACTGACACAACACTTCTACTGGCCCGGCATAAGAACCAGCGCAAAAAGGTTCTGTAACTCATGCGACACATGTCAGAGGGCAGGAAAGCCTAAGCCAGGAATAACCCCAGCACCACTTAAGCCAATAACAATAACTGGGAAACCTTTCAAAAGAGTGATGATCGATTGCGTGGGTCCCCTACCTAAGACAAAGTCCGGATACAAGTATCTGCTGACGATAATGTGCGCCAGCACTAGGTTCCCCGAAGCTGTATCGTTGCGGAACATATCCACGAAAAAAGTAGTGGAAGCACTAATGAATTATTTTTCGAAGATGGGAATCCCTGAGGTCATTCAAACGGACAGAGGAACAAATTTCACCTCAAACCTGTTCAAAAGAGTCACCGGACAATTGGGAGTTTTTCGTGACCTCAAGCCCGTACCATCCCCAATCCCAAGGCGCGCTAGAGCGTTTCCACGCTACGCTAAAAAGCATGATAAGAGCCCATTGCACAGAAAGACAAACCGACTGGGATAAAGAATTACCTTTTGCCCTTTTTGCGATAAGAGATTCAATCCAGGAATCACTGGGGTATAGCCCTTTTGAACTGGTATATGGGCGAGAAATGAGAAACCCACTCAAGATGGCGAAAGAGAAATGGGATAACTCCGAGAAAACAACCGAGAGAATATCCGGTTATGTTGAGAATTTGCGAAAAAGTCTGGAAAGGACTAGTAAGTTAGCAAGCGAACATTTGAATAAATCCCAGAAAACAATGAAACAAAATTTCGATAAGCGGGCTAAGGAGAGACAATTCAATATAGGGGACAGGGTTATGGTTCTTTCGCCGAAAACGAAATCTCCGTTTGACGCGAAGTTCAGAGGCCCCTACGTTATCACGGAAAAGATTGACAACCTTAATTATAAAGTGAAAATGCCAAACCGGCGGAATAAGACACAGTTATGCCACATAAATAGGATAAAGAAATATGCGGAGCGTACTGGTAAAGATGGACTGCCTGTGGGGCAAGTAAAAGCGATCGCAAACGAGGATAAATTGATTGACGATAGCATATTGGTCAAAGACACTCCAGTAAAATTGTGTAACTCCGAAATATTGGCAAACTTGAAAAAGAAATTAGGCCACCTATCGGAGGAAGAACAAGGAAGATTATCCAGTATTATACGGCAATTTCCAGGAATATTTTCAGATATCCCCAGGAAGACGGATGTGATTTATCACGATGTAGAATTTACTACAGAGAAACCTATAAAACAACACCCGTATAGGGTAAACCCCAGGAAAAGGGAAATCATAAATAGAGAAATCGATTATATGCTGAAAAACGGTATAATCGAACCCAGTCAGAGTCCCTGGGCATCTCCTTGTGTACTGGTGGATAAACCAGACGGATCCGTCTGATTTTGCACAGACTATAGGAAGTTAAACGACATCACCAAAGATGATTCCTATCCGATCCCGCGAATGGAGGATTGTATCGACCAAATCGGGAAAGCAAAATACATAACAAAATGCGATCTATTGAAGGGATATTGGTCCGTACCCCTGACGGACCAAGCAAAACTCAAATCAGCATTTGTAGTGGCGAACGGGACGTTTCAATATAATGTCATGCCATTCGGCATGAAGAACTCATAAAAACTTTTATGCGATTGATGAACCAGTGTTTAGCAGGCATCCAAAATGTGGGCATTTACATAGATGATATTATCATATATGACGACACATGGGAGAAACACCTCGAAAGTATAGAACAAATATTCAATCAATTGGAGAAAGCCAACTTAACAATCAACTTGGAAAAGAGTGACTTTGGTAAGGCGAGGGTACAGTACTTGGGACACATCGTCGGCTATGGGCGTATAAGTCCGAGCGAGATCAAAGTAAAGAGTATCAAGGAATACCCAAAACCTAAAAACATAAAGGGGATCAGAAGATTCTTGGGTATGGCAGGTTACTATAGAAGATTCTGCCGAAATTTCGCTAGCACAGCAACCCCGTTGACAAACCTTTTGAAAAAGGGAGCTAGGTTTCAGTGGACACCGGAGTGTCAAAGATCGTTTGAATCTATAAAACGAATGTTGAGTAGTGAGCCTGTGCTAATAGCGCCGGATTTCGAGAAACCATTCAGCCTGCATACAGACGCCAGCGAAAATGGAATCGGAGCGGTGTTATCTCAAAACGACCGGAATGGACAGTTGAGACCCGTCAGCTACTTTTCTAAAAAGCTGAACAAGCATCAAAAAGCCTATTCAACAATTGAAAAGGAAACCCTAGCACTGGTGTTAGCAATGGCAAACTTTGAAATATATGTAACTGCAGGGAAAGCTCCCGCTCAAGTATACACCGACCATAACCCGATAGTTTTCCTAAACAGGATGAGGAACAAAAACAGACGGTTGCAAAACTGGTACCTCATCCTACAAGAGTATAACCTAAAGATCAATTATATAAAGGGAAAGGAGAATTATGTGGCGGATACCTTATCCAGATGCCAGAAGATGGAAAATGAGAAATCAAAAACCCCTCAGTGCGTTCAGTCAGAAGCAGACACCGAGGAAAGTGAGGATTCAGGCACAATCCAGGGGCTGGATTTATAAAGAAAAATGAAGCATTTTTCTTTTTTGTTATGGGTGAGAGTGTGACGATTTTAGGTCGTCAGTAAAAGAAATTGAAATTATAGCTGACCATAGGAGAGACAATGATGATGAAGGTGCCCAGAAACAGCGGCACGGGCAAGCTAAAAATAGAACGGAGGGAAATTTCGGCACCGAAATTGGATAGTTCACCAAAGGTGACAACCCAAGTTCCAAGACATAGAGACAAAGGGAATTTTCGCGCCAGTAAGCGGCCAAAGGTCACAAGTGGAGAAAGAAATTCAGTTGCTGTCGGGATCTGCCGGAGTGAAGATCGCCCACACAAAAACCCTGATACTTGGAAGAAGATAGGTGCAACTCCGTTATATTCTTTTAACGTAAATTGAAGAAAGCGCAACAAAAAAAAAGAGAACAATCCATGCAGAACATCAACAGAAAGGAAATTGATGTTAATAGTACAGCAAAGCTTGGATCTCAACTGAAAAAAAAAAAAAAGAGAAAATACAACAGAAAGGAGAAAAAGAAATCATACAACAATGAGGTTGGTCTTTCTTTTCACTTTTGTAAATTAATGTACTTGGATTGTGGTTGCGAGACATGTATCCGTCTGTCTATTGGAAAGGTTTGTGAACCTAAGCGATATTATTCGGAGAACCGTCATGAAGTTTGAATGAATATCTTCATGCTCCGAGAACTGTCAGAGCCGTAACGAAAACGTGAAGGTGCCTTCGCCTATTTTTGTCATCATTATTGTTGAAATAAATAAAAAAAAATATAAATAAATAAACAAGAAAACATAGAGGAAGAAAAAAAAAAAAAAAGACGGGGGTAAAGAAGTTATACCCCTTGCATTGCAGGCAAAAGAGTTTATGATATAAAAAAAAAAAAGAGAGAAAAGAAAAGGGGGGATAGAGTGCCAACAAGCCGAAAATGACTAATTGACATTTCCTTGTCCCTTACACTAGGAATACGAACACCTCCTGACTGAGGTACACAAAAGATCGATATTCCATAAATGTTTGTTGTCTCTTCTTGTTATTTGTTAATGTTATTGTTGAAATAAAAAAAAAAAAAAAAAAAAGGGGAAAAGAATTGTTTCGTTTGTTTTTTTTCACAAAGGATAAAAAAAAAAAAATAGAACCGATTCTTTCACATACCTAAGCCCATAATCGCTTATTTCCTGAGTGGATGGAAAGCAGGGTAGCCTCATACCCCGCCCTGGAAGATCTATCTGCAGTGAGGAGACAGTCTGAATAAGAGATTGGCAATCATCCAGGTAATTTCTCCTCTTACCGGCTGGGACGTATTTCTCAAAATGCATCACGTTGAGAAATAAAAATAAAGCCCAGAAGGAGAACGCCACAGAAGACTAAAGGCTCAACTATTAAATGTTTATTTACTGCTAAGTAAAAATCTAAGTGAACATCTATGAGTGCTAATTCCATAATTGCTACCAGGGGTTGTAAAAGCAATGGTAGTGACTGACAAGTGACATGTGATGATTGTACAGTCATCACAGGTGTGCTAAAAATTTCAATTGGTACCAATGTAGATGCCATACACAAGAGTAACTGCTTAGCTTTGGTAGTATATACAAAAAAAAAAAAAAAATGACTTACGCAGACTGAAATAGTCAAACCAGTCCTGTCTGTATGCATATTTTGAAGATTGAAGTGATTGAAGTGATTGAAATGCATGAAGAGAATCTGTAAAATAAAATTATAGAAGTAGATTGAAATACTGTAACCAGTCATCTCTCAATGCAGATTTGAGAGTTGAAAGTGCACAGAGAGAATCTGTAAAAAAAATCAACCATTGGAGGAAATGAAGTGTCTTCATGGCAAATAAATAAATACTTTAAAAATTCTAAAAGATGACCTTTAACATAAAATGTCCTCAGATATTCCAAGGCCGGATCCAATAAATATATATATTATCAAACAATTGTTTTTTTTTTTTAATATACACTTAAGAGGAGCATTTTTATTTTATTCTAAATCTTTTCTTGATTGTAAAAAAATCTGTTGCAATATACATATTGAGGATACCATTCAATCCTCATTGGGTCATATTCAAAGTATTTATTATTGCCTATGAAAATTGCTACAATAATTTTGAGTTTCTATTTCAAGCAAGTTATAAAATAGTATCATCCTTTAAATCACAAGTATTTGCGACAGATGTCCTTAAGGCAATCGGGACATGATTGTTATTATTTTATATTTTTATGTATTAATAATCTATATATTAATATGTTTGCACCTACCCACCATCAGTACATGTCTGTCACATTTTCATTGGTTATTATTGGTTTCATTATAATACAGCAACAATTGGAGCTAAAGCTATTTTAAAGTAGCATTACATTCCACAAGAAATTGCAGATCAAGCCGATTTATTAACATTTAATCAATCAGACCCTTGGAGATTGAACTAAGGGCATGGCAAATGTGGTCTATATGCAGTAGCGGCCATAATATAAGGAACGGAAACAACAAAGGCATAAATATGTGTATTACTTAAAAAGTAATGCATGATTAGCAATGAAATTTTTACCAAATAAAGATTACAGTGTAATGCATAAACATTATACGAAGAATATCTACAAAAAAACATTTTGAAACTGCTACATCAATTGCTCGTAAATTTAATGAACAGACAGATAAGATCTCAAGGAAAACAGTTGCTTGCAGGTTAAAAATTGCAGGATTCCATGCCCGTATTCCATCTTCAAAGCCTCTCATTTCAAAGTGAAACCAAAGGCACACCTGGAGTATGCGAGAGAACATGTTGTTTGGACTGACGCACAATGGGATACAGTTCATTTCAGTGATGAGTCCAAGTTTACCATATTTGGTACTTATGTATGCCATAGAACAAGTGAAAGACTGTCTTCTCAATGTGTCAAGAAAACCGTTAAGTTTGGTGGTGGCAGTGTGATGGTGTCAGGAATGATTTCATCTGCAGGAGTTGGCCCTATCATCCGCGTACATGGCAATATCAATGCTGATATTTCCAAAGGCTTCTTCAGCAGCATTTGGTACCAAGATTACGCCATAATCTTTATGAATCTCCTATTTTCATGCAGGACAATGCACCTTGCCAAATGAAGGTTATGGCTTTATTTGAAGAAGGAATCGCCCTAATGAAATGGCCAGCCCAGAGCCCTGACCTGAATCCAATAGAAAATGTTTGGAAGATAATTGGAGAAAGGGCTCAGAAAAGAAACCCAAAAACCAGGATCACCTATGGGAGTTATTGAAAGACGAATGGAGGAATTACTGCTGATTTTTGCAAGAAATTAATTAGATCATGTTTCGATGCAGAAAAAAATGAAAATAAGGGGATGTTTTGTTAAATTTTGTTGATATTTCCAGCTCAATCAAGTATTAACAAGATCGTTCCTTAACTTTTGTCCAGTAGCTTATTTCCTTTGTTCCATTTAATATTTATTTAAAATAAAAACTCCGTTCCTTATATTATGGCTGCTACTGTATATATAATGTAGAATACAGGTTGATTGCTGTCAGATGACATATTTTCTATGAAGTTTCTCGGACAGACATGCTGGTAAATGTAACTAATACTGTTTATTATAAACAGAGCATTTACTTAAATAATTGTATATATAAAAATAACAAACATAACAGAATACATATTAAAATAATTGTTGGCCTTACTCCATTTCATAATATATCTCTTATCCCCTAAAAATTTGGTTTGCTTAGCAGTAAATGTAGGAATTATAAATAGATTTCCCACTGAAGCTATGACATATCTAAACATCAACTCTGTAACTTGTGATAATGAGGAAGAAGCAGCCCAGAATTATGACATGGAATTTATAAACGCTTTACACCTTCTGAAATGCCACCCCATTACATTAATTTAAAAGGTTGGAGTAATTATTATGCTTTTTAGAAACCTCTCTATAACACAAGGTCTAAGCAATGGAACTTGCTTGCAAGTACTTTCAGCTCCACAAGCATATCATGAAATGTCAATTATAAGTAGATCTCACCCTTAGATGAGATCTACTGATTCTAAGAATCAAACTTAATCCAAGCAATGCAAACATTCCATTTGTTCTGTATCAGAACCAGTTCCCAGTTCATCTGTCCTATTTGATGACAATAAAGCAGAGGAACAAACATTCGATAGAATGGGCTTACACTTGCCACAGTCATGTTTCAATCATGGCCAGCTTTATATAGCGTTTTCAAGAGCAAGGGCAATGAACAATGTGAGATTTAAAGTGATACCTAAAAATGAATCCACTCATGGTCGCAGAAGGGGAATCACCTTCACTAGAAACATTGTATATAGGGAAGTGCTGTCATGGATGGATTTCATATATACTTTCACGCAATAACTTAGAATAAATTTATATTATTAAATATGAAATAAAGGACATAATTTTTTATTAACGAAAATAGTGTAAATTAAACAATTTTGATTAACTGATATTCATTGGATGGTATTTAGATTATCCATGATTTTTTTTCACAGGCACAATTAGTAATAAACATCATAAAAAAAAATTTTGTTTAAAATAAATAAAACCAAAATAAAAGTTCTCCCAGCATGCAATAAAATTTTTTCTGCCTGAGAAACAGATTCTTTGTGCCAAGAAATGCCAAACTCACTATCTTCACTATGGATCCTCAAAGAGTCAAGACTTCCCATTCCTTTCCTTGGCACCTTGCTTGTCATAAGACAAAGTGATTTTCTTCTTCTATCACATGCAACCTTAAAACTAAGATACACAAACACCCCTATTACACAGAAATAAAATTATAATTTTGATTTCATTTTATAATTTAACATGCTTTTTGCATGTTTTTATTCCTATGAACAGAAGGCTATCCCTGCTAATATGATATGAGTGACCTGAAAAGACAATAGTTTGTATGATAAAGGATCAATAGTATCTCTATTCTTCAAATATGTACTTTGTTTCTTATTTCATTTAGAAACCCTTTTAGAATTTTCTTAGGAATATTTTCATCAATTCTTAAAAATTAATTTAACAAATAAACATTTTGTTTCCAACAAAACTAGATTTTTTTCAACAAGATCTGAATTGAAAAATGTTTTTTCCTTAATGATGACACTTTCTAACTATTGTACTAATCAAAGTAGTTATCTTAAAAAAAAAAAAAAACTTGATTCTGAAAGACGACTACTCAGAATTGTAATTCTACCAACATATTGTACACGACATTTATCTCTTGCTTTAATTAAAGTAGTTGAAAAGGAACATAGGACAGGGTTGTTTTGTATACCTTAAGATTCACCAGCATACATTTTAATTAGAATTGAAATGAATCTTTCCTTCAAATGTAAAAGGGAAATAATCCCCCCCCTGTTAAACCGTTACATCATGTACAATATGAAGTGACCTCTACCTAGGGTGGACTGGTAGCTTGATGCAATTATTAGGTGATTTTAGATTTTTTTTTTTTTTAAATAATATTCACCACTGAATTGTTGAAATATATATATATATATATATATATATAAAAATAAATTCCTTCATATGAGTGCAGACTTGTAGATTTACTTATGTATAAAGTTCTGAATAATACAGACTTTGTTTATCATATTTTGAGTTTTACTGATTTTTTTCTCCATCCATAACTTAAGCAATTGCTTTATTAGTTTCCTAGCTTTTGCCTTTATTTAAGTACAAAGAATCAAAAACTTACCTATTTTTTCTTCAAAATTTCTATCCATTGAGAAAAATACCTTTTCCTTTTCAAGAATTAATTCCAGATCTTTAATGCAAGTTGCTTTCGCATCTTTAAGCATGTTGTGAACAATAATCTGGAATAAAAATACAAAGAAAGAATCATTTCAAATAAAATATCTGGAAAAATAATACATAGAAAAAGATATTTAAACATTGTAACAATTTTCTCTAATCTATTTATATATATATATATATATATATATATATATATATATATATATATATATATATATACACACACCCACCCAAAGGCCGATCGCAGTTAGGTTCAATGTCATTGTAAACTCCATGATCTTTTCCTTGGCTGCACCAGGGTGACATACAGCATCAAAAATAGGGGATGATTGCTTCATGGAACGCAGCAATAAGTTCTTATTTACTTTTTAATATCGCTATATTTAAGTACTATCCACACACTAATCTATACATTTGTTTAATCTTTTCACCCCAAGGAAGGCAATACAGTCACTAAGACACAATGGGGTTACTGAATATAGGATAATGCGAAGAAAGAAAACATTAAGGAACAGGAAGTAAAAAGACAACAGTTGGCATGACATTTAAATTTTTGAACATTAAAGTTGACTGGAAAGCAAGAAGCTGGAAGAGCGTTCCACAAGCAAGAAGTGTGAAAGAAAAGAAACTTTTACCATGAAACGTATGGTTACATCTAGCCAATTCAACTCTGAAGTGATGAGACATTGCTGCTAATCTAGTACTGCATTTTAATTCATTGTCTAGATACCAAAGTGGTAAAATTATTTTATTTTTGAAAATTAAAAAATTGTGTCATGGCCATGAGGGGATGGCAAAGACTGATTTTCATCTATCTTACATTTAACCGTAGCTTACCACAATCATTGACCAAAACCTACAACAATATTTCTTGCACCAAATGTCATGTCCTTACAACCCACACTTACTACAGCCGCAATAATAATAAAATTTCTCTATGAAAATCAAACTTTTCCCCATATGAACAGTTTGATATTTCAGTAATTTCAAAAATCAAACCTCAATGTGTATTTACAATGATAGAATACTATTTATAAAACTAACCAAACCTTTTTAGTAATAAAAGCCCCCATGTACATTGTGTGGGGCTTTTATCAGCTAGCCAGTCAAAATTAATGTTGGACAGCAAAAAATTAAACCAATCACTCTACAAACAAAAAAGCATATATGAAATGCACACTCTAAATACAAAAAGTATCCCAAATCCACAAGTGCACTGATATCACTGTCACCTAATGGAGAAAGAGAGGGGTGATTAAACTATAGAAATAGGGGACAAAAATAAAGAAGGCTGATGAGCATACATCTTGTTAAGATTAAGGAAAGAAAAAACAAACCTACTCTACCCTATTTTCAATTGCATTGTCAATGTTCAATCTAAAGGACCAAAATTCTTACATCTAACAAACAGCAAAATCTTCTCCAGGTTAGCTCCCTTCACTTGACACAGTTGTGAAACTGCCACCTACTTTTCACCAAATTCTACCTTTCTTGATCTTGAATTTAAGCTGATGCATAAAGACCAAGATCAGTTGGGAAGATTCTTATCCCTATTGAATTCCTTCTATTGTATCGTCCACACCATGACTCACATAACATCCAGTAAGAGAAGAACATATGTTCAGCCTCAGTCAATAGTGGAACCACATTACTTGACAGAAGTGACCTCGAGATAAACAGCTTTGCTGATTTTGGAAATGTAAACAACTCAAGAAATAAGATTTTATCCTGCGCTGAAGAACTTGAGATAGTAAATGTACCTGTAAGGTTCGTCAGTACTATTAAACAAACAGATATGGAGACAAGTGTTGCTGATGGCAGAAATAGCTGGCAATTGTCTTTTTACATAAGAAACAAGACTGGATAGGGAGAAGTTGAAAATTATGATAACAATGATTAAAAGTTAAGACCACCTTTGTTGCCTACATTGTTTGAAAGTTGGAATTGTCAAAACCATGGGCTTTAGTCAATTTTGAATATAAGCTCCAAACATTTTTCTTCAATTTGCAACAGCAACAGTTGCACAGCAACCATGTGATAGGACACTTTTTCATTTCCCTGTGCTTTTCTCATATTATTTTTGCACCTTACCAATAGAAAAAAATTTTTCTTTATCTATAAGTTGTTGTGATAATTAGAACTTGTCAGAGTATCTCGCTTTTCCTGTGTTAATGGTTGGTTGGACAGTCAAAGATATAGGTCAGATGTTGAACCTGAGGGGTCAGTAGACAAAAACAAAGCAGGCAAATTGCATGTGAGTAATATTTTTTGAAAGCTGTTGGGGGGACCAAGAGTGTAGGTATATAAAAGGGGACCTGGGAGAACTGAAAAACTGGTTAACAACAATAGAGAATTAGCTGCTCATTTATAAGTTGTCTGAAGCAGAGACAGTACTATTGGCATATAATATGAGTGAGAGGCTGGTTTCGGAGTTCTAGGGGGTGCTACCTAGTGAGCAACCCTAGATGAATGTGGGAAGACTTAGAGTGTTGATAAAAAATATGCAGATGTGGGAACAGTGAGGTGCCTCATGAAATACATCTAAGCAAAGGATGAGACCCCAGGAGTGTCGGCAACAAGAGACATGAAATTGTCAGTCTTGGCTTTCCCTGAAGAAGTAAGCAGAAAGCTGTCATTCAGGCATAGTTAGTAGATTTATACTTTGATGTGCTAGAAAATGAAAATATCAGACACAACACTATTTACATTATTCAAACTATTGTCCTCATCTTTGTTGCCATATTTATTACATTTTGGCCATTGTACGCTCCGACTTTCTTCAGCTGGTTGGAATGTCAAACTGAACCCTTTATTTCGCTCACTGGGGTAGACTGCTCTAGTTCCACATGCCATGTTTAATGGATGTCAGTTATCTCCTGTTAATTCCCCACCACCAATTCTCCACTGCCTTAACCAGGTATTGGACTCACACTCTTTGGGTCCTCTCATTGGATCTAACCAATGCCTTTATCCACTGTGGCATGTGTCCTTGACAGATCAGACACAATGTTATTAAGGAGACACCATCCAAAGTGTTGGTGGCCAAAGTTAATAAAAGAGTATGGAAAAAGATGAGAAATATTGGAACACAGGTTCAGTCAGGAGGAAAGCAGGCAAGGTAGGGGTAATAATTCCCCTGTGTGGGATAAGAACTTAGGGCGGCTGAAAGATCAACTAGAGGATTGGGAGAAAAAAGTCGATTCAATTAGAAGAGACTAGCCTTTTTTAAACGACATTATTTTTGCACCAACCTAATACCAGGTGGAAGAAGCTATCAATTGTGTATATTTGATAATTTTGAGGACAAAGACAGAATTGAGAAACTGATTTGTGCCTGTCTATCAGAGAGCGGAAATGGCTTCACTGATTTAGGAAATGTAAACAATTCAAGAAACAGGATTTTATCCTGTGTTGAAGGAATCGAGATAATAAACAGATCTGTAAGGTTTGTGAGTACTATTAACCTTTATCTAGATGGACACAAAAATTGTTGCTGTAGAATTCTCTCCCTTTGCAACTCTAGGTACCTTCTGTCACCTTGATTATTGCCAGTATTTTAATTTTTCTAAATGCTACATGAGGTGTAACACCAATTAAACTTATGTTAATTTTTTCGCCATTTTTTGTAAACAAAAATGGCTGCATCAACATCCAATGAAGCCATAATTCAGCAGTTTTCCCTTGATTCAGACTCCAATGATGATTTTGAAGGCTTTACTCAAGTGTATATTGACAGTGAAGTAGTCTGAGATGATAACCATGATAGTGATCAGGAGTAAAGCAATGGTACTGAGTGGCTACTATCATCCATGACTAATTTTATAGAAGCTACTGGCCCCAAGGACACATGTACCTGATAGCTTTTTTTGAATGTAAATTATTTTGTCTATTTATAAACAATGAAATAATAAATTTGAGACAAATACATATGCTACACAGGTGAAAGAAACAGCAAACAAATGTTGTGTGACACTATTTAGTTGTGGTAATTGGCTAACTAATTAAGCATAGAAATTAAAAACATGAAAGACTTAAGGTGAGAAAGAGCTATATTGAAAGATAGACTGAGCGATGTTAAAAAGAATATTTTATTTTTATTTACAAAATAGATACTTTTCGCATGAGACTGAAAATCCATAAGAAAAAGCGAGATATGAGATTCTGTCAAAACTGATTAATGTCATGGTAAGGGAATGTCGTGCCAAGGAAAACAATTCAGAAAGAAAAACAAAGCCGGCCGACACATGGCGGTCATAAAAAAATTTCGGCTTGAGACGACTGTGATATAGGCAGAGGGAATCAATATTAGTTATCTTTCAGAAATATCTTTTAATTTTGATTCCTGGGTCCAATGAAGGGAAATCATCTGGTATGTGTTAGAATTTTGGCATGAGGAAGAAAATCGTGGAGAAAAAATATTATTGATGCCTTTTCAAACTGTTGACATCAGACACAGCGTCATCAAAAATGGGCATCTGGTGGTAAGAGTATTTTAAGGCATGAGAAAAATAAAGAATTTTATTCTCAGGTAAACACGGACCCCGAGTTAAAAGTTGACTTCGTAGAAGAAGCCAGGTGGCAGGCTCTTGACAGTGATGGATGAAAGCACAAGGTTTTGGCCGATGGGAAAAAGAAAAAGAGAATTTTGTAAACAAAATTCTGGATAATAATTTTAAGAGGGCCAGTCTAGCCACACCCACACTGCCGAGAGATCATTGATCAAGTAGTAGTATGAGTGATAGGCAGAGGTGAATGTATGAGAAAAAGGAGAAGTTGTTAACACTCACTGAGGGGAGTGGTATGAGATACCAATGTGAGAGAAGAAGAGTCTAGGAGGATAACTCTCCTCTGACCTTCCCTCATGGACAAGGGAGAAGCTCCCGAAATGGAAAGTGATTAATCTTTCAAAAATGAGAAATAATTAATTTTCCTGAGAAAGAGAGAATTCTTGTTGGGAATCGAGAATTATCGAGGAACCCAAACCACGCCAGGCCCCACACCGGCTTTGGTCAGTATCCATATAAACGAACGTCTCCAGGCAGTGTCAGTAACAGTTGCAGTTCAGTTCTGGACAGAGTCAGAGACGGTTCGTGTAGTGGGAACCAGAGTGTTGCCTCACACTCTCTTGTCCTTTGGAAAATTTTCTGGCTTTGTCAGGTGCTTTTTTTGGGCCTATTTCTTGGCTATGCAGCCGATGTCTTCCAAGTTTCTATGGAGGTTTTACTTTCCTTTTTTCTCTCTTAATGATGTAAACTGTCTCCAGACTTCGACATCTTTTTGCCTTGGTAGATTCTTTTTTTATTGCGGTGAATTGGATGGAGTTGGGGTGAGTATTGAAGCAGGTGTCGTTGAATGTGTTTTAAATGGTCATGGAGCAGGTATCTTGGAAAGTGGCAATATTTTCTTGAATGTTAGGGAAGACCGGGCTGATGATCCCCTGTTCAACTGGTCAGAAGTAGCACTCAGTATCTGATGATATTGCATCAGGTAGAGAGCAAGGTACTCCCACTGACATTAAAAGGGACCTCAAATACTCCAACTTTCGTTCATTTCCTGCCTTTGCATATCATTCGGGTGATGAGATTTTTCACTTTCAGCTCAAAACAGATCACAGCCATGGTAATGAAAGCAGTATGTCCCATGTGAAAAAGCTTGTACCCTTTATAATTCTTTGGAAAAAGCTTGTACCCTTTATAATTCTAAAGGAAAAAATATAAATGTTAACTTCCTAATTATAATGCAAAATCAAAATTACTTAAATAGTGCTGCCCCAGCATGTGTGGCCCTGTTCATCAAGATGTAGAGGTCACCAGATTGCCCTTACAAATTTATATTTATGCAATTTACCACAAAATATGAAACAACAAGAAGAGACATTCAACAAGAAAAGTTTCATAAGTAAATGGAATTTATATATGCATAACAACAAGTGTATAAACAATAATTCAGTTGTGTTTGAAATGTTTTAAAATTACTTAATCCTTAAAACTTTGAGTAAAATTTTCTTGTTGATAGTCTGTGAAAAATGTTCAAAATATATGAAATTAATATAAAAGTTGCAATTGATAAACCTGTTTTAAATGAATTAAACAGTTTGTAACAATTTCTATAATTGAAAATTGCAATGTTTAAAATGTAGCAGGAGTTACTTGCTTTTGACTGTAAAATTGTACTGGTTAAAGTTTGTAAGGTAAAATGTTTTTAATGAGCTCAAGGAAATAGTTTCAGTTCATGAAATGATAATTAATCTCGATGAAAGAAATGTTCTTCAGTAAGAAAGTATTGTAAGTATTTATAATTAGGGAACCACATGATGGGCTTCAGAACACGTAACAAGATTTTGGCAGTAGATTGACTTTGTACACAACTGTCTAGGCATTGTAACTATTTTCACATATATTAGCCAATCAGAAGTTGGAATTTTAGTCAAAGCTTCTGTGATCCACTTGACATTTAGTTTGCACAAAATTTGTTATCAAGAGAAATATTACATGAAAAATTAATTGAAGCATTTTACAACAAATAGAATTCACTGAATCAAAATAATATTATAATTAGGTAGAAGTTGAATGTTAAAAAGACATACTTTATTTTTTCTGTAAAATGTTTTACAGGGCATAAATAATACTGATCCAATTTTTGATGGCTAAAAATGTGAACCTTAATCTATTTAAGATGGTGGCCCATACAAAAATAGACCAAACTTGCCTTGTTTTGAGATAATTGCTTAAATTTTTAATATGCTAATTTGTTTTAATACAATGCAACAGAAATAAAGAAAATGTAAAATGCTGAGGAGAAAAGTAAATGATAATCTTATGATGAAGAGAACTAAGAAGTCTGCCATTTTAATAAAATATACAATGTGATTAAAATATAAAAACAGATGTAAAATATGTATATTTTGAAAACTGACCATTACTGTGGAGTGAGTAGCCAAGGTCAAATGCAAAATAAGTAACAGAATTGTCCAGTAAACAGAATTAAACAAAGTTTGCAATAAGCAATAACAACAAAAAGAAAAGGGTAAAAAATAATATAAAACAAGCAAACAATATATACAAGACAAATTAACAGTAATAAGATAAAAAGTTCACAAAGTCAGAATTGGTGTTGACACCAAAGCAAGTCTGGAAAAGTGAACCTACAATTCTGACTTCAAGACAAGACAGAGTGGGGCTGCATCAGGTCAAACCAAGAATCAGTTAAATCCCAGCATGCATTTCTCTGCTACTGCCTATAAAAGGGGAGGGACAAGTGTTTTGTAGTCATTGCTACACCAGATTGAAATCCACAATTAAAAATTTAAGCTACTTTCATATTTGGTTGAAGTCACTTTGTATAAATATATTATAAAATAAAATAAGCTGGAATTATTTACAATAAAAATATGATATTTTCAATTTCTTGTATTGGTTCAAATGATGCTTAAATTTCTATTCCTTTCTGACTGAATAAATACAAATCATTGTCAAGGGAACTCAAATATTTTCATGTATTCAACAGAAGTTGCTATATTTTTTCAATCTCAACTGCCACATTGTGAAAAATATATTTAAATTTCAGAGAAAATGAAAAACGTCTTCCACTTACCATTATATTTGATTTCAAAATAGGAAATCTCCCAAAATAGTAATTCAGCAATACTTGCAAGACCAACTGCAAATTATTAAAGATAGTTTCCATGCACTGGAAAACACTTGGTTTTATCTTTGTGATAAATGTAAGAGCAAGTTTCTTAAATGTATCATATGAAAGAAATTCCCGGGGTTCTTTTCCTTGATTTTTTTCCATTAATTCTTCTATTACTTCGTCGAGTTGCCTGGCTGAAAAATAATAAAATCCAAGTGTTCAATTTCAATTACATTCCTTACATTTGTATGATTATCATAATTTGCCATATCTTAAGAAATAGATACTAGTAAACTAATTAGTTGCTTTATCATCAATAATAAAAAAGTTTTTTTTTAAGTATTTGTGACATTTTTATTTACACAACTTTCAATTGATTAAATTTTGTAGAATTGTAATTTTCATTCTCATTTACTCAAAAGCTAATTTTTGGAAAAAATTCATATTGCTGATATACATAATTTTGTTTTGATTTTTTAAGATGGCAAATGACTACTATACTTTAATTTCATCAAAAATGAGAATAGTTTGAATGTTATATGATTATAGATCATCCAGAATAACACCAGTGATTAATTTTATTTTTAATTTAAGAAAAAAACAAAAAAAACAATGCCAGATGGTTTGAACATTTGGTTCTTGTGGCATGTTTGCATGATGTTTTTATAATTTTGTAGTGAATTTGAGTCACAATAGCAACAACTGGTACTGAGAATTGGCTGTAGAGGATATATCTAGTAGCAGCAGCTGGTTAGTGTCTTTAATTTTTACCATCCAGAATGGCCCAGTGATTAACTTTATTTTCAATTTAAGAAAAAAAAAAAAAATACACAATGTCAGATGGTTTTAACATTTGGTTATGATGGCAGGTTAGTACCAGGATTTTATAATTTTGTAGATTCAAGGTTAGCAAGATTGATATGAAATTCCAATTGTAAGTAATTAATAAGAAATCCTTTTTCCATGATGTTGTTTGGATGTATTTTTTATTCTATTTGGTTTCAAACCTATTAGGTTAATGTGTAAATTTAAATTTTCTGCATGTGTGCATATACACACCCATACATTCATATATATATATATCATGTGTAATCTGGCTTACTTTGGTTCTTTGGTAACTAGTGTGACTAATGTAATTTCTTGATAATCACATATTGATTTAGTAGCGGGTAATGGAACTTATACAGAGTTAAAACTTTATCATTTTATTCTATTCTCCCACCTACCTAACTCTGATCCACAAATATATTCACAAACTGATTGGGTGGAGGTGGACTCTCCCTTTTTAATTATATATATAAATATATATATATATATATATATATATATATATATATATATATATATATATATATGTATATATATATATATATATATATATATATATATATATGTATTCCAGAGTCAAAATGTTGGCAACTAAAATGGATACCCTATTCCAAGTTCTTGCAAATTACTGTTTGTTGTTAGTAAGTCCAGTAGGCGCGGAAAAATAAAACCTAACAAAGGGTAGAAGAACTCTTGATGAGTCAACAGCCAGCTAATTAACTTACAAATAAAAAGTATGCCATTTCAACAGCTAAATGTTTTATCATTTTTATTCTAAATCATATCTTATAAAATAAGTATTTCATAAAATTTCAACCTGTCTTGTATATGCTTTCATTTTGTATCTTTTTTGCAAACATTTTTGACAGTATAAATACCTTCTTGGTAGATATGTTGGCACTCCAACAATTTTTAAAAAACAACCAGAAAAAGAAACTTCACCTTCCTAGATCAGCCACTGTTGTGTGACTGATCCAGCATTAAAAAAAGGCCTCAAAAACAGACAAAAAACACCATCCATGTTCACATCTTGATTATCTCATTTACTCTTCAAGTTACCCATTTTTGTTGTTGATGCTGTTGAAAGTCCTCAAGTGATGTGCTTCCTTATCTGACACAGTTCTTTATTTCAAATGGTAATCTAACTATGAAGGACTATTCTTCATGAAATTAATTCTTTGGTTGAGAAGAGATAAAAAAAAGAAAACAAAACATTAAGTATGAATACTTTTATCACATGTAGAGATGCTGATAGCTACATGTCCTGTGTTAGGGATGCATAAAAATCTAAAAGAACACAGTAAAATCGTATCCATGCATTCCAGGGACACATTTATATTATATTTTGTCATTTTTATTTATATATTGTTTTTAACAATAAACACATCACAAATTAACAGTGCTAGACCCGTTTCTTTTCTTATTCCAATCACATTTTTTTACCTGGATTCAAAAGTCAACCCTTATTTCTAGGAATGCAATGAGTTAATATTTATTTACAATAGAATTATAATTTCTTGGTGTGAATTAATGTAAATAAGTTTAAAATTTACATTATTTGGGATGCCAGGATGAATTAAAAGATCCCCAAATTTCAATATCATTCTCACTTTGTTTACACTTTTAAATACACTTAAAAACTATGTTTTTATCTTTAGAACTGTTAGATTTATATTATCATTTTCTTTTAACAATTGATAATGAAAATAAATTACTACCATGTTCTTCTTCTTTCCCAAATTCATAGCAGTTAAAAGTTGACTAATAAAATAACAGTGGGAGGAGGTTATTACTGGCACCAAAGACTACTGAGATTCAGACAGTCCCTTCACTACTTTCCTTTAATCAAAATTGAAATATACATTTCAAAGTTAAAATATTTGATTATCTTTGAGGAGGGGGCAATAAAAGTCTATTTCATTTATTGCTTGGAGTTGAATGACCAATGAATAATTGTTATATTGTATGAAAGTAGAATTTGGCTCACCAGATAGGAAGAGTGCATTTCCTACAAAGAGGTAAGGCTGGTTGTGTTGTGGATGATTCCACACTTTCCACTGTTTTCATTAAGTTTCATTGTTGTGTTAAATATTTCATAAGGATTGACTTGCTTAATTTTCTCATCAATTAAAATCAAATTTGCTTTAATTAATCATTTTCAGGCTAAAAGATCTTGGTGACAGTTTATAGAATGTCAAGATGATGAGAATGTTTTGTTTATTTGCTAAAATCATCACTATTTATTTTGGTGCTACCGTCTCCATTTTGTTTTTAGTTGAATTTATGCAATGTTTTCTTCACATGATGTGTATACTCATCTATTTTATTTGATAATTTATATTGATGTTATTTATGTTGTTATCGAAAAATATTTTCTTTGAATTTTTTATTCTACAGAGAGTTGGGAATATCACTGATTAATTAGTCCTCTATTTCTAAGCTGATTCAAGGGTAATTACTTAAATGTTTTAAAGGAAAGTTGAATAAATCCAATTTCTTTTTATAAGAGTGTTATATTTTCGTAAAGAAAATAAAAGAAAAGAAAATAGGAAACTATCTTTACTGTCCACGTCAAATAGGAAACTATCTTTACTGTCCACGTGACTTTTTCACACGTCCCCATTCCTCTTTAAAAGCTGTGTTCTTCTTCCTTTGTTGATTGCTGCTGTGAATTAAGTTCAGTAAAGCCTTAGTGAAAGGTTACTAGCTTTCTTCTCTGAGCAACGTAACAATTTACTGAACTTACTTCCTCATGGACAAGATTATTCGTCTGGACAAGTTTGATATATCTTCTGCAGACCCTCAGGCTAGCAAGCTCTGGAGACTATGGTACCATAATTTTAATTATTACTTATCAACTATTGCTTCGTTAAACCCTGACAAACTCGAAGTTCTTTATTTAAATATCGGTGCTACCGTTGCTGATGTTATCGAGGGTTGTTCTGGATTTGAACATGCTGTTGAATTGCTGAAAAGTGTTTATGACAAGTCTCCAAGTATTATTCACGCTAGACATTTGTTGTCTACACGTCTGCAGCTGGAAAATGAGTCTGTAGACCAATACCTTCAGGCCTTGAATCGACTTGCTGCTGACTGTTGCTTCCAAGATGTTACTGCTACTACTTACAGGGATGAATCTGTCCGTGATGCATTTATACATGGTCTCCGGTCCCTCGTAATACGTGCCAGACTGCTTGAAAATGATACGCTAACTCTCAAGGAGGCTACTCAATGTGCTAGAGCCTTAGAACAGGCTCACTTTCGTGCTGAATCATACACTTCTCAGATTGGATCAACCGCTGCTACTACCACTAGGACTAAAAATGTGTTTACTGATTCTGCCGAGGAGGCCACTTCCACTACTATTACTAAAAATATGCTTTCAGACTTAACTGATTCTCGTACGGAGTGTGACTCTGTACAATTGTCTGCTGCCTTTGCTCATGGCAAGTGCTACAACTGTGGAGGGAAATGTCACTTTAAGGATAATCGTCGCTATTGTCCTGCCCGTGTCGAAACTGTAGCAAACTCGGTCATTTTTCTAAAGTTTGCCGTTCTACCATGCCGGCACCTTCACGTTCTACTTCAGCTATTATAGTAGCCCATGCTAAAGACGATGATAGGTCTCCTCCAGTTACTAAAACTTTAGAATTAAAAGGAAAGAGATTAACTGCCCTCATAGACACCGGTAGTTCTGATAACTTTATCAGTGCCCGTATTGTTAAAACAATGAAACTGTCTACTTCTAAACGGAATTCCGTAATTTCCATGGCATCATCTGCCATTTCCCTCAAACTATCTGAATATTGGACTGAGGACATTATCTTCAATGGTTACGAATATAAACAAATTGACTTTACAGTACTTCCTGATTCCTGTATGGATATTATACTCGGAGTGCCCTTCTTAAAACTACACCAGAGTATCACTATTTCTTTTGGTGGATCTCAGGATATTCTAAAAATCTGCGCTTTAACCAAGATCAGTTGTGCTCCTGTTAAGTTGTTCCGAAACTTGACTCCTGATTGCAAACCTATTGCTACTAAATCCCGAAATTACCGTGCGGAGGATGCTCGGTTCATTGAAAAAGAAATTCTACAACTGCTTGAGGATGATATAATTGAAACAAGTTACTCTCCGTGGCGTGCTCAAATTGTCGTAACTTCGTCACCTAATAAAAAGAAACGATTGGTAGTCGATTTCTCCCAGACTATTAATCGGTTCACCTTACTTGATGCCTACCCCTTGCCTCGAATTGAAGATCTCGTAAACCAAATAGCCCAGTATCGTATCTATAGTATAATTGACTTGTCCAAAGCGTACTATCAGATTGAAATTTGCCCTGAAGATCGTCCCTATACGGCCTTTCAAGCTGGAAACCGTCTGTACCAATTTAAACGAATACCCATGGGTGTTACTAACGGGGTTTCTGCCTTTCAGCGATTTATGAATTCTTTCATTTCTGATAACAAATTATCTGGAACCTTTTCGTATATAGATGATATAACTGTTTGTGGTAAAACCCAGGAGGAGCACGATGTCAATTTGGAATGTTTCTTAAAGGCTGCCTCGACATACAACCTCGAAATAAACCGGGAAAAATCAGAGTTTTCACTTCGTTCTATTAACGTGCTTGGATATCAAAGTTCTAACAGAACTATCCAACCCGATCCTGAGCGTTTGAAGCCACTTTTACAAATGCCTCCTCCTTCCGACTCAAATTCGTTAAAAAGGTGTCTTGGTATGTTTGCTTACTATGCGAAATGGATACCTAAATATTCACACAAAATTCGTCCACTGGTCGAAAATAAACAATTCCCTATGCCTCCTATAGTTATAAATTCTTTCGAAAAACTTAAGAAAGACATTGCCGAGTCATCTGTAAAAGTTATTGATGATGAATTGCCATTTACTATTGAAACCGATGCCTCAGAAAAGGCTATTGGAGGCACTCTTTTACAAGCTGAGCGACCTGTAGCATTCTTTTCTCGGTCGCTAAACCCCTCTGAAATACGACTTCATATAGTCGAAAAAGAAGCATATGCTATAGTCGAATGCGTTTGTAAATGGAGAGACCTCCTTGCCGGGAAACATTTTACTATTATTACTGATCAGCAAGCCGTATCCTTTATGTTTAAACCTGCTAATCGCGGAAAAATTAAAAACGATAAAATTATAAGGTGGAAAATGGAACTTCTTCCCTTTTCATACGACATAAAACACCGTCCTGGAAATGAAAACACAGTTGCGGATACCTTATCCAGAGTATGTGGTGCTGCTGCTTCTTCCTTGAAGGAACTTAAATCGATACACGATTCCTTAATACATCCTGGGGTACAGCGCTTTTGGCATTTTGTAAGGTCTCAGAATATGCCGTATTCGCTTGATGAAGTCCGACGTGTGACTTCTGAATGTACGACCTGTGCCAAAATAAAACCCCAATTCTTCGATTCTGCTAGTAATGTTCTGATCCGTTCTACTGCGCCATTTCAGCGTCTTTCCATAGACTACAAAGGGCCTGTCCCGGTATCCCCGACAGGTTACCGATATATACTTACTGTCGTCGACGAATATAGTCGATTTCCCTTTGCCTTTCCTTGCCGCGATTGCTCTTCGCAAACTGCTATTCAGTGCCTGACAAGTATTTTCTCCATTTTCGGGCTTCCCTCGTTCATTCACTCCGATCGAGGAACTTCGTTTATGTCAGGAGAATTTAAACAATTTCTAACACGACTTGGAATTGGATTCAGTAATACTACTGCTTATAACCCAAGAGGCAATAGCCAATGTGAACGTTACAACGGCATAATTTGGAATACCATATTATTGGCCCTGGAATCGAAACAGTTACCAATTAGTGCTTGGCAGGATGTTCTACATGATGTGTTAAATGCTATCCGCTCCCTGCTATGTACCACTACGAATGCAACCCCCCACGAACGAATGTTCAATTTTGAAAGGCGGTCCTCCACCGGTACTGCGTTGCCTGTTTGGCTCTGTGAGCCTGGGGAGGTATTATTAAAACGATTCGATGGCAGAAGTAAATATGACCCTATCGTTGAGGTGGTGGAACTCCTTGAGGCCAACCCTACGCATGCCAAAATACGTCACAATGATGGCCGGGAAGATTCGGTGGCGCTGAGACGGTTGGCACGTTTTCCACGCCCGGATGGACCTCAAAATGGACCTGAAAATACTCAACCCGACGTGGACCATGCAGATTCAACCCTTTTGCCTGATGCAGGTCCCGTTAATATTTCTTCACCTTCTACAGAAAATGAATCTGTGAATAATAGCCAGAATCCTGAAAGTCAGCCTTCTCAGAGGTCTGGCTCTTCCAGTGGTGAACTACCTCTACGCCGGTCTAGCAGGATTCGTAGACCAATCCAATGACTGGATTTATAAAACTTTTTCAATTACAATCTCTTTTGCAAGTGGGGGAGAATGTTATATTTTTGTAAAAGAAAATAAAAGAAAAAAAAAAAGGAAACTATCTTTACTGTCCACGTGAAACTATTTTTTTCACACGTCCCCATTCCTCTTTAAAAGCTGCGTTCTTCTTCCTTTGTTGATTGCTGACTGCTGAATTAAGTTCAGTAAAGCCTTAGGAAAAGGTTATTCTATCATTCTTCTCTGAGCAAAACAAAGTAAACACATCCAATTTATTAATTTAATTTATTGGAAGAAAAAGCTTTTGTTACAATTCTCAAAAATATAGTTCTCATTTGAACTGTTTGAATTCATCCGTATAGTTTTTTTGACTTAAAATTATTTAATTAAAATTAAAAATGTTCTGTCAATTTTAAAAAAAACGTTCGTTTACGTCGACGAATTCTTAAAAGCTAAAAATTCTTAAAGGAACACATTGATCATGTTTTAAGAAGTTTTCAATGAACTAAATCATAGACTGAAAATTAATTTTCGCTTAAATGTTTAAATTTAATTTAAAAATCTTTTGTTCTGTCAATTTATTTAATGATTAAAATTGCTTTTCGAACAATCACATTTTTTTTTTAAGGTCGAAGCCATAAAAAAAAACAATTTATTAAACCCAGTAAATTTGGGACTTACGAAATTTCCTGGGACCCATGATCAAACCAAATGATATATTTCCACACTGCCCAAGAAAATTGGCAATCTACCTCTTTTATAGATCTAATGCGTAACCAGAGAAAGAAAACCTGCTAAGATTACATTAAACGGCGAAGGAACTACATTAAGAAATGATACTCTAAAGCCCTTTATTAAAACAGAATAAAAAGGATTTTTTATATTATGCAACATTAAGAACAAAACTTTCCTAATCATCGATGCATCATCTGAAACCGAAAAGAAAATTTTAGTTCAGGAATATCAAAATATCAAAAAGCCAATGTCATTTTTCTTCCAAAAATCAGTTAAACTTCACAACCACACTGCATCTGGTTTTCGCGTGAACCTTTCAGAGGATATATGTCTGTAATAATATTTTTTTAGGCATTTGTTGGAGGGAAGAAAAATTTAATTTCTAAAACCAAACAAACTTTTTGAACATTCTAAGAGTGACAAATCAATCCTGGTGACGTATATTTCGCTTGGACTATTTTGACAAATGTTTTTTTTCAACAAAATAATACATTCAAAAAAGAAATGCACACCAGCTGAAACTTTATCCAAATACGTCCCATAAAAATGGAATAAAAAACTCTCATCAGTTGGAAAAAGGATTACTTTTGGGCAGCAATGAGTCCAAATCCCTATAAGAAGTCAAAAAAACAAAGTACTATTACAGACATGCTGAAAATGTAGTTCTTCCTTATCAGGCCTAAGACGTCTAAACACAAAGGAAAAAAAAAAGTTCCTTTTTTTTTGGTCATTTTCCGGAAGCCAGATGGTCGTTTTAAACATATCCATGTTGATCTTGTTGGGCCGTTAGAACAAGTATATATAATACTTTAACGATTTTAGACCGATTTAATCTTTGGTTTCCATTACAACAAACTTCCTGAAAATATTTGATTTCAAATTATTCACTATTGTTGATAAAAATCTCAGAATAACAGACATTAATTTCTCAATTTTTCAGTTTGTTTTCAGAATTTGAATTTAGAAATTTACATGAGAATGATTCTCCCTACCATCCTTGTCTTTATATATTTTGAAAAAAAAAAAAAAAAAAAAAAAACCGAGTTATCAACAAACTTGAAGACCGTTCTTTCAGTTAGATAGTATGAATGGAATTAGTCTCATGTCAACATGTTTAGATCTATTCAAACAATCTTCAATTTTCTCCAGCTCTTGTGAGTGGTACTTTCCTTCAGTTAATTCACCAAAAGTCTTCAGAAACTTATTAGTTGTCTCCAAGACCTAAAGAAAATTGAAATCATCATCATCATTTTATAATTTAAAATAATATCACGGTGAAGTTAAAAGAATTTTTGACAAGAACACATGAAAATTTATTTAAGGCGTAGAATTCATATTTTGTTAATAGATTCATTCTATAATTCGTGCATGCTCAAATATAAATAAGGGGCAAAAAATTCGGGCCAAATATTGAAATGTGCCATTTGTTTCGGCGGCAGACTGAGCTGGACCAAGTCAAAATCTGAAGGGGTTAGTGAAATCTGCAAGGAAAATAGATAATGCTATACCTTTAGATTATTTATTAAAATTTGAATGTAATTTGCCTTGGCATAAAATAAGAAAAGCCCAGAATTCTGCTAAACACAGTTAATGATATATGGCCAAGACTGCCATTAAACAGACATTTGCTGTCAGTTGCCGAAGTCTGTTGGGACATGAACAACCTTGCGCTCTGAAGGGCCGAATAATTTACAGAGCAACCTGCATCTGATCCGCACGATCATAAAATGTAAAGACGACGATGAAGCCGTGCTGATCAATTTAGATCAGTCCCTATAGTTGATTATCATGACCATCTACATACAAATCCGCAACATTCATTCCCGATTTCAATCCGCTGGATTAGCTCACTGATTGGTCAATTCCCCAATGCAGATTGGAACAGCTGAACGGAATGATATTTCCGGCACTTTTGCTTCAGTCTCGATCAATTCGTCAGGGTTAAACCACTGTTGCCCCTACTGTTTCGCTTTGGCCCATCTTAACCACACAGGCAAACGTTAAAGAACATTCCAGCACTCATGCAAGAAGGGGCAGTTAGAACTTTCCGCGAAATGCCGAACAACCATGCCAGTCAAAATCTTCCGGCTTGCACTTTTCCTGGCAAACTTCGACTTAACAAATAGCATTGTTATTGGAATAAAATAAGTCCTGTCTCAGCATTCTTTACAAGTAGTTTGGGCCCGACCTCGAGACTGGAGAAAAAATGGTCATTATGTTTCTTCACAGATGTTCCCGGCGCAGCCAGTCAGAAAAATAAAATAAATTTAAAGTTGTCCGTTTTTCGTCGAATAAAAAATGATGCGCCAACAAACTATACGCGACATTTTGAAGCCTGAGAGAACTTTTCAAAACCTATAAACGACGTGAACCGATTCATTACGGCCCAAACAAAGCATACACAATCCACGTCACGCCAGAACTCAGCACCTATCCCAGGAGGAATGCCAATTCGTCAAGTCTGAACTAAAGATTTAGAGATGGACCAAAGATCCGAAGCAGATGAACTTGACCACAAAAAGACATATCCAAACCCGAACAACTGAAAATAAACCACTTAAATCTATTTCCACTGTTGTCAGATGACTAACTTCCAACACCTCAGTCAAGCCTCTATAACCTGGAACGGCGAGACGGCGAAAAACTTAAGATACTAAAGACGACTGAAAAACACCCTTAGAGAAGCAATTGTTCATTCAAAAAAACAAATACAAAAAGACAAAAATACATAACTTAACCAGTCGATGGACAATAATTTAAAGAATCATCGGCGCTATTGACTGAACTGAGCAAAAGGTGAAAATTTGGAACATAGTTTAATTTACCCAAATTAATAAGTTTCAAGACAATGGAAACCACTATTCAGCCATTGGCATAGCCTTCAACTCAAATTCACCTTATTCAACGTTTGAATCAAGTGTGTATTTTTATTCTATATAAATCACGACACTGTTATTTCTTTTACATATGTTGTTTTCACTTTGAAACCAAAGAAACGCGCCACTCAGACCCAATATTCATGTTTCTTAAACCCACATGAATGTCTAAGAACACCAACCCTCCCTAACATTTCCACCATCCGACACCTTAAAACCATCACATTCACCACGAATCAACAATTGAACTTCCTCAGAGGTCGCCCCTGCCACCATGGACGCAACTGCCTATATCACCACCCACCCCGCACACGGGCACAAGCCCATATCGCCGCAACGAATGACAATATACAAGCCATAAATGATGTGGAACAGGATTTTCGCTTCGGGCAGGACGAAATGTGATGCCTCGTTCACCATGCCCCTACGTCAGCCATCACACCTTCAACTTTCAAGGACTCGCTCACCATTCACCGCTCGTCCAGTCCACCTTCAACTTCAGGGACATCACCTTCTCTGGCGTCGCAATGCTAGACACTGGATGCTCCACCTGCATCGTGCCAATATCTCAGCTACCCAGAGAAGCCAAGAAACTCATGACCCGCTCCGACGTCGTAGTAAAAGGAATCAACGGCAGTACCACCGCCCTCGGCGAACTGACTTGCGACATCACCATCGGCAGTCAAGACTCACCCACATTCAAAAAAGGTTAACGTGCTGGTAACTACCCAAACCACACCAATCCTGATCGGCCAAAATATCCTACGTCGCAACACGCTCGATTCCTATCTAATCGACAACCAAAATGCGACTATAGAATTCAGACGCACACTTTCCTCAGGATATACAACACACAGCCGCAATCATATCACCGTCATCGTCAACCAACGATCCAGCATATGGCGCCCAAGCTGACATCATCCAAAACCAGCCTACTATCGAACTACAGCCCAACATCCAGACACTGGATCAAAAGCTAACCTGGCTAAAACATAACACGGGACTATCGCTACCAAACCACCCAAACCGAGACGAACTAGAGGCCACTGCAAACTTACTCATTCGCTATGCTGACATTATCGGCACCGAAAGCAGCAGCAAAGGCACATTCATCCGACCCATCCGCATACCAACCAACGGCCAGTCTCGCAGCCAGAAACAACACCCGATAGCCCAGGCTTTGGAAGCAGACGTAGATACCGAAATTAAGCGTATGGCTGATGAAGGTATCATTGAAAACTGCAGTGACCCCAAAGGCTTCAATAGCCCTGTATTTGCCGTACGCAAGAAAAACGGATCGATCCATGTCGTTGCTAACTTTAAAAGAACTCTCAACAAGGTCTTAGTCGATCTTGACCTTTACCCAATGCCAAGGATCGACCACTTGTTCAACAAAATCGGCAAAGGCAATAGATATTTTACTACCCTTGATCTACGCAGCGGCTACTGGCAAATTGAGATCGACAAGCGAGACCGATACAAAACAGCATTTACATGGAAGGCCAATGCTATCAATACACGCGCCTGGCCTTCGGCCATACATCTGCCGGACAAATCTTCTCCTGTTGCATAGCAGAAGCCCTAGCCACGGTCACATCCCGTGACAACATTTCCTCCTATATCGACGACAACCTGGTCCACGCTAGGACATTTAGGGAGTACATACTCTCCCTCGAACAATTTTTTACTGCCCTCCGAAAATTCGGACTCAAGCTGAATCCCGATAAATGTTCCTTCCTCGCATCAGAGGCAAAATTCCTCGGACGCATAGTAAACAGCGAAGGATTCAAGGCTGATCCAGAATACGTTCGTGCCATCAGGGAAATGAAACCTCCAACATCAAAAAAGGAATTACAAAGCCTTATCGGCCGTTTAGTGTGGATCAGACAATTCCTAGAGACACGTCTTCATGAATAAATCAGGTCAGATATGTTTTCAAAACTTATAGGTCCCATACACGAACTCAACAAGGTTAATAAACCGTTTGTCTGGACGCAAAATGCCGACAGAGCATTCAAAAAAATCAAGGACCATCTCTCTTCACCACCCGCCATCTCATTTCCAGATTTCTCCAAACTTTTCACACTCACCACCGATGCCAGTGACGTCGCATGTGGAGCAATCTTAATGCAAGAAGGCGACAACAGGAAGAAAGATATCATAGCGGTCGCTTCCCATACATTCAACTCCACGGAACAGAACTGGTCCATGACGGAACGAGAGGCATATGCAATAAAGTGGGCAATATTGAAATTTGATTATTTCCTTTGCAACCGCCTCTTCGTCATCTTCACCGACCACAGATCGCTGACATATCTGGACCAACGAGAGTTCAATAATGCCAAATTACGACAATGGCAAGAAGAAATTTCATGTTATAAATTCATCTTGGAATATGTTGAAGGCGAATCAAATGTATGGGCTGACATGCTCAGCAGAGGCTGCGGACATAAGAAAACAAAAGCCCCGAACGACCCTACACCGGCAGGCAGGACATTCGAGGTAAGCGGTTCAGACCTACGCGTATACATCCCGTCCACACCTCACAAGCGCGATTTAACGCCCGCACCCACAAGCGCATCACCAACCTACCACCACCACCACCATCCCCACTGAAAGAATCTGCAACCACCTTGGCATCGCAGATGAACAACTGAAGGACGACACCCTGGCAAAGATCATCAGCGCCCTCCAGTCACCCACCCCAAGCAAACCTCATATTGATCCTGACGACCACTGAGCTACGCTTTTCAAAAAACATTTCAAAAAACATTTCCACCAATTTTTTTCTAGAACCAGGCACCTCCGTTTTGATGATAAGAGACAGTAAACACTCTCTGAGATTGGTTGTACCCAGATATCCAGACACACGAGGGCAACAACCACTCAGGTGTTACCCGTATGTGAGAACTCCTTTCCAGCTACTGGTGGGAATTCAAAAACCGCGACATCAAGGCCTATATCGATTCTTGCGACACGTGTGCTAAGTGCAAGGGCAACTACGGTAGGCGTACCCATTGGCCCATTGGCCACTGCAAACGAGGAAAGAGACCATTCGATCTCGTCTTTATAGACTTTGTCACAATGCCCAACTCAAAGGGAAAACGCTACATCCTAACCATCTTGGATAGCTTCAGCCGACATTTTACAGCCATACCATGCGCGAGAGACCGTGATAACGACGCCGCCCGCGGATCGTACCATTTCTTCCTTCGACACAGAGAGATTCCACGCATAGTATCCTCTGATCAAGGCACACACTTCACTGGAGAAGTCTATCGACAATTCTGTAACCAGATGTCAATCACGCAAGAACTTTACTGTCCTTGGCGCCCGCAAAGCTCAGGAAATATCGAGAGACAACATCGCACGATGAAGAACGCACTTTATATGTTATGCAAAGACAGGAACTGTGAATGGACAGACGTTCTAGAATCTGTCGTTTCGTCCATGAATGCCACGACCAACAGCGCCACCGGTGTCTCCCCGCACTATGCCATTACCGGTCGTCACCCCAACATCGGCCTACCTACACTACACAGAAAAGAAATCACAAGCGACGATCCTGGAGCATATGGAATGCAATTAATGCCCTGCTAAAGCAGGTTCACCACCATGTCATCCTGGCCAACGATGAAGCTGACCACAAACTTGAGACTAACTTAAATCGCCTCACAACAAGGTTTTACTTCATTGGCCACACTCAACTGTTGCCCAATCCTCTCATCTGCCCTGGATAGGAAATTACACCATTATAAAAACGAACAACATGATGTGTCAGGTGCAAAACGATGATGGTGATACAATCTGGATTCACCGTGCACATATCCGACGACTGGCTCCATGCCCAACACATCTTTCTAATACAATCCCTCTGCTTCCACCATGTAAGAGTCACCAGGATCATTCTCCTCCACCTCCCTCAGGGACACATAATTCAGCATATGTTGTTTTCACTTTGATTTCTTTTGCATAATTTACCTTCAATATTCATGATTCTTAATTTGTTGTGGATAAATGTCTAAGAACACCAACATCACTACCCCTTTCAATAGAATAACCTTCTGATACCTTAAAATACATTCGCCAGTCTGCAACAATTGTAATCTTGGTGATAGCTGTCAAATTTGAGTAAAATGCCTGAATCAAGTGTTTCATGAAGTGCAGCAAATCTGTTAGAGACATTCAAAATATTTCATCTGGATTATGGTAAATAGTATTTAGGATGAACAGAGGGTTTTTTGTGTTTAATATCAGTCAAGTCTCAATTTAAGATGATCGGTGTTCAGGGAAGCTCGTTAGACACTAATGTTTGCTAAAGATATTTCTATGAATAAATAATAATTTTTAATCTCAATGAAATAAAAAATGTTTTAAGGATGACCTTATTTCAATACTAGAGAGTAGCCATGTTTTGAGGCCTTATTCTGGGTCAAGAATTATGATGGATAACATCAGGGAACAACATCATCATGAGGCCATATTCGGAAATTCTTTTTTTTTTATAATTTGTAAACAAGATGGACAGCAAATCAAAAAAAAATGTTTAAAGTTTGCTGATTTGCTGTATTCTCTTTAATGAAAACTACTGCAAATTTTTTTTTTTTTTCAAGTTAAATGCGATAGTAACTGAAAAAAATGTTTAAACTCCAAATCTTTTTGTGTGAAATTTCTCACAAAAATACATTCTAACAGTTAAAAGAACTGATAATTAAAAAGTTACTTACTGTTAGTGTATACATTAATCTTGTTTCTGGTGTTGTAGGATAATTAACTTTGTCGTTCAGCAATTCATCAGACATGATCTTTTGTTTTTCTATAATAGTCTTTCTGATGGTGGGCAATTCTCTCTGAAAACAAAAACAAATACAGTAAATTGTTTATTAATCTTCAAAGATTTAATAACATTGATTGCTTTTATGAGTATACCATGAATTAATTGAATAAAACAAGTCATCATTCATTGAACTTTGCTGCATTTCTAGCCTGAAGTGTTCATTCAATGAAATATACCTCTTACTGTCATAGAAAGAGATAGTAAATGCATTTTAATTTCCAACAAGTTTTATTACTTTAAAACTTTCATTCAATTCAACCTATTTTTGTTGAGAAAACATTCTCCCCAGAATTAATATTTGGTATATGCACTATTATATCAGATACATGATGTGTACAAGAAATCATTTTATTTGATATGGACACAACGTACAGGATGCGATAGATAAATTGTCGTCTAAATTACTCAAAAATGAAAATAACCCTCCCATTTCATTTTAACAGATATATTCATCAGTTACACAAAATATTATTTTGAATTAGAAAAGATTGAATTTATTCAATAAAATTGCCATTGACTTCAACAATGAACTCCAGATGATTTTGGAATCTCCTGCAACTCATCTGGACTGTTTTCTTTTTTTTTTCAAGTTAGTGAATGCTGCTATAATCTTTGCATCCAGTTCATCTTTGTTATTGCAATGAGTTTTGCTGGTCTCTTGCATGCCATACCTAATAATCAATGCGGTTGCAGTCTGCAAAGTTAGGTGGCCAGATGTAAGGGGTGATGTGGTCGCAGAAATTATCTGACTGCCATGAATGAGTTCTCCTGCTTGTGTGGTATGATGCAGAGACCTGTTGCTAGAGTCTTCCTGCAGACATCTTCTAGACCCAAGGAAGCAGTACCTTCTCTTTGAGGAAACCATCCAACATTCACTGCCATGAAGGAGGACAGATATCATTTAGCAGTTCAGTACTCTTTACTTTGTTACCAACGAAACCACCCTGTAATACTCTGCCTAGCTTTTGGAATGTGTCTTTGGCCATCCTAATACAACTTTGGATCTCAGTGTCACACTTTCCAGCCTCTATCAGAATACTTCTCAGATATTTAAATTTCTGCACTTGATTTTAGTGTCTTTGATCCATAAATTGCATTTTGGGGTATCTTTTACTGATGACCATGCATTATCTTTTTATAGTTTATGCTTAGACTCTTCTTCTTGCTCGTCTTCACTACCTTCTGTAAGAGGTTTTGTAGTTTCCTTTCCGTGTCTGCAATCAGCTCTGTGTCATCTGCATATCTTATGTTGTTAAGATTGTGGCTGCCAATAACGATCATGGTAGGATTTCCAGTTCTCTCAGAATTTTGTCACTGTATAGGTTAAATAAGTCTGGTGAGAAGACACATCCTTGCCTTATGCCTCTTTCTATTTTTGTATATCTGCTGAATTCATTTTTTATCTTTATGCAGGTGGTTTGCTGCCAGTAGAGGTTTTTGGTTATTTTAATGTCTTTCCTGAATATGTCAAGGTTGCTGAGCAGCTCTAACAGATCTTTGTGGTCTATTTTGTCAAACACCTTTGCATAGCCTATAAAACACAGGTACACATTCTTCTGCATTTGTATTGCTGTTTTTGAAAACATTTCAGACATAAATATCATGTTCCTTGTTTTGGTGTTTCTAATAAAACTGCAATGTTCTTGTCCTATCTCTGGTCTGTTTCTGTTCAATTCATCAGAATAGAGATGATGAGTTTTGTTATGTAGCTCATTAGGCTGACTGTTTGGTGGAGTTCATATTTGTTTGCACCTGGTTTCTTAGACAGTGCTATGACAATAGTGCTGCTCAGATCTTCCAGTATATCCCCACTGATGTAGATTTCATTTATTATTTCTGTAATCTTGTCTATGCCAAAATCATCTAAAGCTGTCAGCATCTCAGTTACAATTCCATCTGGCTCTGCTGCCTTGTTCAATTTGGCCACAGTGCATCTTCTATTTTAGTTTTGTAAGTGATCTGGGATTGGAAAGGAAATAATTTTTGCAGATTATTTCCACAACGCAGAGAATAAATCACTAAGTTCAGACTCAAACATCGGGGACAGAAAGAAAATGCTGAAAACTTGATTCACCAGCACTATTTCACAAATTACAATGCACGCAACCAGTCAGAAAAATAACTGATTCTCTAACAAACGTGGTAGCCAAAATATCCAAATCTTTATCCTCCCGATTTGAGAACACCAACTGCTTTTATTGGCCGAACATTTTTCCCTTCATCGATAGCTGGGAGAAGATGTTCAGTATTTTGCATATCAAAATACTTTAATAGCGACTCCTGTGACAGACTTGTTTTTTAATTCAAATATTCCATCTATAGCATGTCATGTGGAATATGTGCCCTTTTGTTTGGTAAGTAATTTTCTTTTTTGCCACATTTTCTGTCTTAGAATACACGTGATATGCTTTAACTTGATTTGACAAGGTAAGTTGCCATTTTTTTTGCTATAAGTTTTTAGAATTTCAAGCCTATTGGTAATTCTGTATATTGAAGGTTGCTCTCTATTGTTATGGAAGAGTTTTCGAATATATTCGTTCCAACGCTGAAGAATTTTTTCCTTTTCTAATATAAGCATTCCATCTTCAGAATTTTATTTAGATTGCCTGCATTTGGTCCTTATTTTGTTGTGCAGTTTTCTCTGTTCTGTTCTGTATCTTGGCAAAGTTTTGTTTCCTTTGCATCATGTTGAGAATCCCATCAGCGATCAATTTGTCTTGTCTTCATCCATTCAACTTTGGGATGATATCATTTGCTGATGTCACTAAAGCTTCTCTTAATGTGCACCATTTCAAGTTTCCATTTTTTCCCATGCATATACTTTTCACACAATCCATATATTTTTTCTTCATGTTTGGATTATTCAGAAGTTTGTTGTATTACAATTTAGGGGTTACATTAGGCTTCAGTTTTCATAGTTTCACTCTTAGTTTACATATAACCAGAGCTATGGTCATTTCTGCAGTCAGTATTTGGGTAGATTTTGCAGTGAATCATTGCCTTCCCGATTCTTTTGTTGATAGTTATGTAGTCAATTTAGTTTTTAGTTTCTCTCCTTGGGCTTTTCCATGTCCATAATCATCTCTGATGTTCTGGGAACCATATGTTGGCTATTACCTAGTCATTGGCTGTGCACCATTTGATCCATTTTTTTTCTACGTTCGTTGTAGGTTCCTAGTCCAAAGTTACCAGCTATCTCCCCTACCTTCTTCCTGCTTTCCTTTGGCATTCAGGTTTCCCAAGATAATTTTTGAAATCTTGTGACCTGCAATGGGCCTGGACATTGTTTAGCAGAAAGTAGAAAAATTTGATTTCTACATCCTTACTTTGTGCTGTTAGTGCATACACTATCATGATAGCTATGTTGAAAGGATTTCCTTTCATATTGACTACCAGAATTCTTTCAGTTAATTGGTAGTATTCAAAAACTTATTTCTTGAATTCTTGATCTAGTATCAATCCTACTCCTTTGTTTTTCTCTTCACCTGTGATTGTTACTGACAAAATCTCCATTATTTGGACATCTAGTTTCACATTCACCTACAATGTTGATTTTTAGCCAACTCATCTCCTGTTTTACATTTTCTAACTGGCCCCAGTTGTTCAATATCCTAATGTTCCATGTCCCAAGAATTAATTTTTGTTTGATGCAAGCAATCGCTGGATAATGGTCCAGTGACAACTGTTGCTCATGTTGCTCCTTTCCTGGGGAGGGACAGGTTCCAAAGAATTTTATCCCCTTTATGCCGTTTATGCTAGCAGTCACTGGATGACGGTCAGGTGACACCTATTGTACATGTTGGTCCATACCGGGTGAGGATTTAATTCCCATAGACTTAACCCCCTTCACGCCTTTAGGTTTCATAATGTGTGTGTTATTTACCATGATATTTCTTGGGATTAATGGTGTCGTGGTTTCCCATTGCCTTCTCCACAGTGGTTTATGGAAACACCATCTCTAGTTAGCTAGCCATTGATTGATTGATCCCAGAATTCGACGGCTCCCCCACGGGCCCGACTATCGTCGAATGGTTTGAAAAGGCCGAACGTGTTTGTAGGGTGTCCAAAATAAAGGAACCTGCACTGGTCATCCCACTGAGACTCACAGGAGGAGCCTACTCCGTATATCAACAACTATATATATATGCTGACCTAGAAGAGATCAAGGACGCCCTGTATATCTTTTGGAATAGACCCTTCATCGCTTGGAAACAGTTCGTGGATACACTCGAGCCAGGTGAGACCGTGGATGTCTACCTGGCTGATTTGCGAAGGCTGGCAGTACAGTTTGGCGGAGCAATGGACCGCATACTAGGGTGCGCCTTCCTGGCAGGACTTCCGATGACACCAGTCGGCTCCTGCGAGCATCTTCAAGATTGGACACACTGGGAATTGATGAATTGCTAGCCAGGGCCCAAAACATCTTGAACACGGAACAGGTTTGCGGCAGCCGTGAGAGTTTGCCTGAGACACCGTAAAAGGGGGGGCCCCAAGTGCTACAAGTGCGGTGGACCCAACCATTTCTCTAGGGACTGCCGGAGCCGGGGGAGGCCGATTGAACCGAATAAACATTTTTATCGCTGCAAAGAGTTTGTAGCACAGTATTTCAGGAATGAGTCCGGGGACAAGGTGCTGTCCAACCCTTGCCCCCTCTTGGTCAAAATGCGGTATTGCCTGTTGTCCCTGTGTATGTTGAGGGTAAACTATGTTCGGCGCTCGTTGACACTGGATGTTCCCGATCGATCGTTAGTGCGGATCGATGCGTGACGATTGACGGAGTGTTTGGGTCTGTTGTGGTGTCAGGACTGTATCAGTCCTCACAGACGGAGGGAATCAAGCCAAGGTCGACGTTTTGGTGGCACGTCAAAGGCCCCTCGGTTATGACCTGCTGCTTGGGATTGATGCGATCAGAGCGTTAGGAGGCATGATAATCACGCCAGCTGGAAATGTGGAACTGGGTAAAGGAAGAAAGGTGTGTGCAGCCCTTTGCATTAGTGAGCCTGATTTCGACGTCTCTTTCAATTCCGACGAGAGGGTGTGGACTGCCAGGTGGAAATGGGCCCAAAAAGACCCACCAGTTCAGCTTTGCAACAAGGTCGCAGAGTACAAAGTTCCCAACAGCATCAGAGGAAAATATGAGAAAGAGCTTCAGCAGTGGATTGTGAACGGCTGGTTGATTCCGTACTCCCAGGAAAGACTGGGACCCCCACAGGGTCTGATTCCCTTGATGGCAGTTATGCAGGAGCAGAAACAGAAGGTGCATCCGGTACTCGATTACCGCGAATTGAACGACTTTGTGGATGCTTTTACTGCCGATGCAGAAGTGTGTGCACATAAGTTGAGAATGTGGCGGCGGCAGGGGGTCAGTGTGTCGCTTCTGGATCTGTAGAACACATATCTTCAGATTCACATCGACGAAGCGCTGTGGCCATTTCAAACAGTTATTTTCAAAGGCCAACGCTTCTGTCCACGCGGCTAGGATTTGGGCTAAATGTAGCGCCACTCATCATGAAATCCGTTATAGACGCCATCGCATCGTAAGACCGCACAATTGAAAGTGCCACATCAGCATACGTTGATGATATCTTCATTAATGAAAGTTTGGCCTCTGCATCGCGTGTAAGACAACACTTTTCGGATTACAGTTTGGTGTGCAAGGATCCGGTGCGACTGAGAGATGGAGCAAGAGTTCTTGGCTTGCAGGACTGAGAAGAAAATGGCACCCTCCGATGGAAACGAGGAAGTCAAATTCCGGAAGTCCCTGATGTATTGACCTGGCGGCGCGTATTTTCATTGTGTGGGAAACTTGTTGGACGTTTCCCAGTGTGTGGATGGCTCAGGGTGGCAGTTGCATTCGTCAAGCGCCTGGCAACCGCAGCAACCAATGGATGGGATGATAACATCAAAGATGCTTCTCTCTGTCATGTACTAGCAGGGATGTTAAGTAGAGTGCGGTAACTGAATCCCATTGGAGGAGACTGGTGCATGAGTGGTGACGAGATCAGTCTGGGTAGATGCGAACCGTGGGCGACAGGAGTGGCATTGGAGCGAACGGAAATGTCATCAAGATGCGTTTTGGCTTCCGACTAATGATGCCAGGCATATTAATTTGGCTGAACTTCGATGCGACCTCAAAGGAGATGAATTTAGCTCTCCAGTGGGAGGCAACAACATTGCACTTGGTTACTGATTCGGTGTGTGTGCACCAGTGGATTTCAGACACCTTGACCGGGAAGGCACGGGTGAACACAAGGGCGGCTGGCGAGATGCTGGTTATACGACATGCTGGGCATTTTCTCCAGATCGCTGGTGGAAGAATATGGATTGACCATAGACGTGACACTCGTACAGTCCTTTATCAAACTGGCAGATCGCCTCACCAGAGTACCGCAAGGGGGCTAGAACTGCTCAAGAGAGGAGAACCGGCACTCGAGAGCTGTGCAGTGGTAGGGAGATGACGAACCAGGTTGCCAATAGCCATCGTTTAATCACGGACATCCGGGCGGAAACGAACTCTGTATTTCGCCAGGTTAGTTGACCCACAGGTGTCCAGAGAAAGCGTTAAATACATTGTGAAGGCCTGCACAACCTGTCAGTCGATTGATCCAGCACCTGTTCACTAGGAAAGAGGAGAACTGAGCGTGAAGAGCAACTGGAGCAGACTGGCGATGGACATAACTCACTACAATGGTGAGAATTTTTTAATGCTTATTGATTGTGGTCCCTCCAGGTTTGTGGTATGGCGGCACACTTATATGCGAGCACCGTCATTACTGTTGAAGAATGTTTTCCTGGAGCGAGGCCCACCCATGGAAATACTGACGGACAACGAGACTGCATTCACCAGTAAAGACTTTAAAGAATTTGTGGACAATTGGGACGTGCATCTGCGATTTCGATGTGCCTACTCACCAAGTGGAAACGGCATCATGGAGCGGAACCACAGAACCATCAAGACCATCGCAGCCAGGAAGGGCTGTACAGTATCGGAGACGGTTTACTGGTATAATGTCGCCCTGAAAGAGAACGTTGCACCATCCACAGCGTCGGCTGATGCACTGCACAAATATCATGTCCGTGCGAAAGGCATCGAAGCCAACCCACTGCCTGAACTAGAAGTAACTGGAGGAAGATTGAAAAAAGGAGACGTTGTTTGGGTCAAAAACCCACGCGGCAAGTGTACGACAAAATACGACACTTGACGTGTTACGGAGGTGATCAGCCCGCAATCTGTGAGAGTTGATGGGGTGCCTCGTCACATTAAAGACTTGCGACCGGTGATGCAATCACTACCGTTACTGAGCGATGAAAGCGATTCCGCGTCTGAGAGTAGTGAGCGTTCAATCTGCCTTGAGCTAGACCTGCAGGGCAGTGATTCTGAAAACAGCAGCCTTCCAGTGGACACGGTGTTTACTGACACTCAAACCACAGACGAGAACACGCATGAGGATGAAGCTTGTGTTGTCCACCTTCGGAGGGGGACTCGACGGTGATGATCGCCACCTCCTTGCCCTGTTTGTGATCATGAGATCAGGGTGGAGTGTGGGATAAATTGTGAAAATGGCTTACCTCGGGAACGCGTGCACATCTGTGCAGTGTGCAAACTCCGGTCCTCCCAACGGTAAAAAGAACCAAAATAGCGGCGCCCATATTTTATGCCGGACAGTCTCGGTTAGTTAACGCGAAATCTCATTGTCTCGTCATTCACATGCAAATCGTGGTCGGTCCTCGGCTGTATAAAGCAGGCTTGTTTTGCTGTTTGGGATCAGAGAGCTTTCGGCTCATGAGAAGGTTGGACGTGCGACACCGGTTTCTTTGTTCCTACCTGCTATCATCAGTTGAGTTGTTACGTTACCTCCCACTGCCAATGGTAAGCTCAAGTACAGGTCATTAGGTAGATTAAACTACCATTTTCTAGATTCAACAGGCTCACTGGTGCTACAGAAGATCATCATTTGTTCGTATTTTTAGAAGACAGAAAGATATCTCATGCTATCATCAGCCATATTTTCCTGAGACTGTTAGTGATGCTGATGAACAGGGACCCTGATGATGTTTTTTTTTGTTTTTTTGGGACCTTATTGATGAAATAAACATAATGTATTCCTATAGATAAAATTCATTCCAAGAATGACATTCTCAATGAATATTTCAATAGTAAGTTTTTATATTTCTTGAAAGAGTCTGAATTTAAAAAATGCTTAACATCTTTCTCAGTTCACGTTTCATTCAGTATTTGGGTTTATTTCTAGTTCCAAATAAGAGGGTAAATATTTTATATAAACTTGTACTAACCTTGATAAAAGAAAACAAATCATAGGCTAATTTGCGTGATAAAGTTTCAATTCCCCATTGACTCTTATCCAAATTTCTGTGAATAAAAGAAAATGAAAAAACTAATTGTTCATTTTGTTATCATCTTAATCTATAAAGTGACTGCATAATGAATTATAAAGTAAGAATGCAAGAAAAATGTTCCCTGATCAAATTAAGTTGAACAGGTCATGCACATGTAAATTTAGCAAATGGCTTGGTACATGCATGAATATAAACTTCAAATGGAATAATACACTTTAAAAATATTTAAACATGAATAGAATTCCAGTGGAGACATTATGTAAATTTAAAGATAGTGTTAAATATTAATCCTATCTGTACATGTCAATGACAGTGCTGGCAAAAATCTTAAGCCCAATGAAAAAAAAATACTTTTGCATTGTTAAACTCAACCACTTGAGAAGCATTTCAAAAAATGGAAGTAAGAAAAGGAAAAATTAAAGTTAAAAACTTTTTTCTCATTTAATAGGAGAAATTTGAATACTGGGAAATTAGGCTAAATAGAAGCTGGTCAAAAGTTTAATACCATATTGAAACAAAGCTTTAATTCGTAAACACATAATGAAATTCAGTCATTTGTTTTCAGGCATGTGTGTAGTAAATATCTCACACTGGTATCTCCTGTTTTATGTTAGGTAAAAGTATGGCAAAGGCTAGAAAGTTAACAGAGTTTGAACATGGCAGAACTGTCAATATGCCATTGCTGGTGAGATTGAGGAACATGGTAAAACTGCTGTTGCAAATTTCTTAAGACCCTGAGGGATATGGAAGGAGCATTTCAAGTTGTCTACCCAAAAAAAAAGTTCATCAGCGTTGAGCAAAAGGACTCAATGTGTTGTCCAGCAAGACACCAGCCAAACATTCAAACCAGATTAAGACCCTTATGGGTGCAGAATACAACTCAAGAACAATAAGACATCATCTTTAAGAGAAAGGATTTAAAAACTGTAAATGTCTTCAAAGTTCACACTGCCTTCCAAACTACACTAAAAAAGGGCATCAAACCGCAGAGTACATTGGCATATTGGCAGAGGCCCTGGCTTTTGTGGAAGTGACTAGATCTTTCAGCAGAATAACACTGTAATCGATAATGCTTGCAGGACAAAGGATATTTTCATGGTGAATAATGTGATTCTTTTGGACCAACCAGTGTGTTCACCTGACCTGAATCCCATTGAAGACATTTGTCGGTAAATTTTTAAACAGTGTATAATCTTCCTGAAGCCATCTTTTTTTATTTCAAATAACATTCCAACCAGCCTTCTGCAGATGCTTACAACAACCATACCAAAGTGAATTTTTGAAGATATTCACAATGACAGCTGTGCAACTTGCTACTGAAATGCCTTGTTGAGCATTTCCTATTCTGTTTAGGACTTCTTTACGTATGGTCTTAAAATCTTGACCAATGAATATTTACTCTAATTTCCCAAATTAAATACTAAAATCCTTTATAATTTTTCTTATTTTCATTTTTCAAATGCTCAACTCAAATAAGTGGTTAAGTTTTTATTTTCATTGGCCTTAAGATTTTGGCCAGCAATGTGTGAAAACAGAATGGAATTGATATTTAAGTGGAGATTTCTACTGTAGAAGTGTAATCAAGATAATTTGAAAATTTATCATTTGGAATTTATTTTCAGACATTTCAAGTTTTTCAATAAATTTCAAATGGAAACCAAGCAATTTATTTAATTAGAAATTGAAATAAAATGTGGGAAAAAACATTACCTGAAAACGTCATGATTTTGAAAGAATATTTTTTCTTTTTCCAAAGTTTCTTTTAAGCTCTCATTTTTCAACAAAGCGCTTTGGCCACGACATTTCACAATTGTATAGCCTTTTGATAAAGGGATAACTTCATTGTTTAAGATCTTTAAAATGCTTTCTTCATTACCTTTATCAATTAAGTCTGCCTTTGTGAGAACACCTAAAGGATATAAAAAATTGTGAAGTGAAAGGTTTTGGCAAAAGGAGAGAGAAATTTGACAATGTAAAACAATAATAAAAGAGAACAATGTAAAGCATTAAACAATTATAAACAAATTAAAACTTGAGATATTTCTTTAGTAAATAAGTGTAAATCACATGGAATTGTTAAATAATAGTTTCTGACTTATGTTTTAGTGGCAGTGTATTTTGGCTCAGACCTTCGGAAGCTGACCTTAAGGTCAAATGGTAGACAAAATAGAGATGTGGATTTTGATTGGTTGAACTGAACATGGGAATCTTAGAGAGATAGTAAGTGTTTTCAGGGAGTTAAGATTTGCATGTTGAACAATGTTGACATGTTGAAATCATGTCTCAAGGCCTGCTCCCTAGTGGGGTGGGATAGCAACCCCACTGGCTAGTTAAAAATGTGTTTAATAAAGTAGTAAGTCAAAATCCCTTTTGTTGATGTTCTCATTTTTCCTCTGAACAAACCAACTAGCAATCACCATGCCAGAAGATGACAGAGAGAAGAATGCAACATATAAGTGAATCAAGACTGTCACCCCAAGACTACCCCCAGCATGAGGAGGGTATACATCACAATTTCCAGATAAGTTCATTCAAAATGCATTTTCATAGTATAGGAATTGGCATAGAACCTGATGAAAGAAAACCATATCAAATGGAAAAAGAAAACTAGCAAATAAAAAAAAGTTCAAATTTTCTTACCAAATGTACGTTCACAATCAGGATCATATTCTTGGGACAATTTTAGAGCTTCTGTTGTTGCCAAGTCAGTAGTACAAGGACACACTGTGAGAATAAGTGCTTCTTCTCGGCTAATGTATTTCTTAATGAGCCTCATAATCTGTTGGCAAATTAGAAAACAAAATGATTCAGTATCTTATTCAGTAATTCCCAGACTTTGAACAGACTATAAATTAAGATTTAACATGATAAACTTATGGAGGTTAAAAATGGTTTCCAACAGTAAAAACGTTTTTTTAGGTTAATTTTCTTGCATCTGCATTTTACATATTAAGTAAACCTGAAAAATATAAACTGAACAAAAACAAAGCTCATCTTTTTATTTTAATAACAGGAATATAAACCAATTTTCCAGAGTTTTCCACAGTTCAAAACAAGTCTTTTTTCTCATCCTTGCTTCATTTACATCTCCTTTTCAACTTTTCTAGGTTTGGCTTTTTAATCTTAACTTTTCTGTGACACTATTTAGCTAATTGGCTAACTAATTAATCATAAAAATTAAACAAGGAAATGCTGGAAACGGAGAGAGAATAGTCCAAAAGATATACTGTTCAATATTAAAAAGATTTTATTTTATTTCCAAGATAACATTTTTTTTTTTTCTTGGGTGCCAGCAAGGCAGGGCCATATAGTATTGGGAAAATTTTGGGCATGAGAAAGATAGCATAGAAGAATCGAGATTTGGGAGATACGGAATTTAATTTCTCAAGAAAACAAGGGTTCCAGTAAAAGTTAACTTCATGAAGGGACCAGATGGCAAACTTTGATAGTGATTGATGGAATTTGTAAAGAGTGCTGGCTAAGTGGATTCTGAGTGACTAAAAGATCTGATGGATTTTAAGTGGTAACGTGGAATTCATAAAAATTTTGGCCGATGGAAAAAAAAAAAAATTTTGTAAACAAAAATTCTGGGTTATAATTTTAAGGAGACCAGCTTAGCCACACCCACATTGCCGGGATGCCATTGGTCAAGTAGTACGAACAGTGATAGGTGAAGGTAAATGGATGAGAAGGATGGAGAAGTTAGTAACACCCACTGAAGGGATTGGTATGAGATATCAATGTGAGAGAGGAAGCGTTTAGGAGGATAACTCTCCTCTGACCTCCCCCCACCTAAATGGAAAGTGATTAATTTTCCAAAAATGGGAAGTAATCAATTTTCCTGGCCTGACAACAAAGAGATTTCTTGTTGGAAATCGAGATTTACCAAGAACCCCAGACCGTGTCTAACCCTGCACCGTTTTTTTGGTAGGTACCCATATAAACGAACATCATCAGGGTGTTCGACAGATATTTAGAGTCATAGCTTAACCGGAGTGTTGCCTCACAGAAACTGACCATGAAATTCCATTACCTCCGACTTCACCTATCCTACCAATAGCAAATTATACTGACAAATGAAGCCAAGCCAGCACCTAAGAACTAAATCAGTTGACTTAAGATACCAAAAGTTGATTGAAACATAGAAGTGTCACACTCCGTAGAAAATGGGACAAAAACACACTCCTGTATATAATGGATAAAGTTAATTTGTTATTTCTTAACATACTTGAACCTCTTGGGTTTTTCTTTTATTTTGCTTCTTTTTCTTTACGTTGTGCGATATTACCTTCAGTCTGGACTCAGCTTACACTACGGCCTGATGCCTGATTGATCTCATCTAACTAAGATCAAAATCACAACGTGGGTAAGTTAGACTTGAGATCGAAGCAGTTACTTTGGTTATCAGACATTGGAAGTGAGCTGGGAATGAGAGAGCTGGTATTGAACCAGTTGCCACTGGTGTGAAGCTGTTAGCATTAATGACAAGAATTCAACCCTGGACTAGCCAGTGTCACATATTGGTACCCTGACCAAGGGATTCCGCTTTTTGTCCTTTTTGTTTCTATTTTCTCTATAAATTTGTCGTCATTCATATCTTTGGTTCATGATATTCTCAGCATCCTTCTTTAGAACCACATTTCTGTTGCTTGATGTTTCTTCATCTGTGAAGAGATTGTCCAGCATTCATTGCCATATAAGAGCACTGATATTACATAACAATTAAGTATACCCTTTTCTTTCTTTGTAAAGAAATTTTCCTGTTTCTTAGTACTTTGTTCATCTTTTGGGAGATATCTTTTGCTATCATGATGCACATTTGGATTTCAAATTCTGTTAAAACACTTCCTAGATATTTAAATTATTGTACTTGTTTCATTTCGGTATCTCCAATTTGTATCTTGAGCTGTTCCTTTTGCTAACAACCATGCATTCTGTTTTATCAAACCAGGCACATTATAGGCTTGGTCATAATTTTGCTGAGTATGGATTCATGGAATTTATGGAGGTTTGCACCATGTCCAATATATACTTAATGAGATTTAAATCTGGTGAAAGTATGTTTCAGGTGGGTAACAGAATACCTGGAAGTCAGCCGAAGGTACCTGGAACCAATTTTGTGTCACCTGCATAAGATGGAAGACTTGGTGGGCATAAAATGGCAAAGTGGTCTGCAATAAGATCTGTACATGTCATACCTGTCAAGATAGACTCTTGACAGGCTGGATCCATAGCCTCATGTAGTTTCCTAATGAAATCATATGCCTGAAAAAGCTGGAAACAAGTCATCTGATCAGACAACACAGCACCAGCCTTCAACTGTCCAATGATGATGTTTTCTGGCTAAAATGAGGCACAATGCTATGATGCTATGGTGTCAATAGTATCTTTGGTTTTCAGAGATGATGAAATCCAATGAAATGTAAAGTGTGGGTTGCCTGCAAAACTACCTAAAGCAGTTACTACTTTGAAAATAGTGCCTCACTTTTAATAATCAGCCTGTAATCAGTGTTAAATCCTATTTATACCCCCATGTCTGCCACAACAACACTAATTCTTTTCCTATTATATCCCATATATATAATCCAGCTGAGTGCATTTTTACAAGTTGGATTTGGTGATGCAATCTAGTGTAATAGGGATTGCTGTATTACAGCCCTAGAAATTCCTAGCTAAGTAATTTAGTTATTTAGTTTAGGTCTGAAGTAACAGGACAATAAAAAGAGATCATTCAAATAGTCTCACTTTTCCTTTAGTAGGTATGACTAACAAGAATCCTCTATAGTTGGTGTGAAAGCTTCTTTTGGAACTATTGAAATGAACTGGTCTGCTCATAAAAAAGCTGGTTTGGTTTCTATAGTAAAGGTGGTCTGGTAGTTGGTTTGGTAGACCATCCTTAAGCTGGTTTGGTCCCAATATAAAAGGTCTGGTCTGGTAGTTGGTTTGGTAGGCTTTGGTTCGGTTTTTATTTTTTAGTCCCAAACAGGGCCAAGACAGAAACAGTAATAATACTCCGCTGGAATTTCGACCAATAACGGGATCGCGCCAAAGTGTATCACCAGGCGAAGACATTGTCCCTAAACAGGGCCAAGGCAGACCAGTGATGCTACTTTTGAGGGCGGATCGACCCTTGAAACAGGATCGCGCCAGAGTGTATCACCAGGCGAAGACGGATTCCCTAAGCAGGGCCAAGGCAGCACAGTAATACAACTCCACAGGGCGGATCAACCGTTTAAACGGGTGAACCAAATCAAAGAAGCAGGTCAGAGAGGTGTTACACCTTCCAGGGCGAATCGACCGTGGACATTCAAGAGTTTTCTCGACAAAAGCACCGAAGTTCAAAAGGTAGCGTGCTCACTTTGATCCAGGCCCCGGGCCGAGCAGCTTGGTTTGGGCGAAAAAAAAGTGTCTAAGGATATTTTTTCTATTTGTTCAAGTACTCCTGGCTAGAGGAGTAGAAGGCCGTTGATAATAAATTACTGTCTATGGTTGCCGATGGCTCAGCATAGTCAGATGCGTACTAGGTATGATTTGACATCAACGATATTGGACTAGCCGTCCGGTTTCTGGCATGTTGCTTGACCTCAATCTGCGAGATCGGGAGTTGTGAAGGTCAAGGTCGGTTTTCTAAGGAGCGGATAATCGGCGACCGCGACATGTCTAAAGAGAAAATTGTCTAATGACTTTTCCAAGAGATATTCAGCCAATAAATTTGTAATTTTTAGTCAAAAAATTTTAAATTAAATTGCTTATCAGAGATATATCCCAAGAACTAAGCTATTTCACTCAAATATAGTTATCTCCTTTCCATTTCTCCCAAATATACATCCGTGAGAGAGAATTTTTCTGTGGCCTTTTCATTTCCCTTATTTATTATTATTCTTTGTTGGTGTTTATCATCCAAAAACTTGTCAAGATCTGTAACAAAAGACAACTATTAAGAAAGACAGTCTTGATATATTACAGTGCTTTACCATGACCACCAATATAAAAGGCTTGCTCGATAGTGACGTGACGTCACAAATGTAGTCCATGCAGTGAAACAGACAGTAATCATAAATGTAACGAAAAATTGTAAGAAAAAATTGGTTTTAGAAAACTTTAAAAATACATTTATGAAAGAAAGAAACAGAATTGGATTTTATACAGAAATTTATTTCATTTCTAAAAAAATAACCGATAAGAAAAAAAATGTTGTTGAATGTTTTAAACATCATGTGACATTTCATTAAATTTTAAAGATTGAAATTCGTTCATTATTCTAATTGTTTCAAATCTGAAAACATTTTTAAAATCATAATCAGTATTGTTTTAATTTGCATGATTTTATCTTAATTTTAGTAATTATTCTGTAAAGTTACAATATCCTAAGTATTTAAAATGATTATTATTATTCTTCCACTACAGAAACAACTCAATTATGAATGAGAAAACAATCAGACGAGCAAATTACAAGTAAATTATAAATAAGAAACAAATAAACTAAATACAATAAAGTAAATAAATTTGATACAAAAAAGGTTTAAAATTCAAATAATACTTATAGAAAAGTAGGTTACAGACAAACAATTTTAAGACTGAAATTCGTTCATGATTTTAATTGTTTCACATTTGAAAATTTTTTATAAATCATAATCAGCATTGTTTTAATTTACATGTTTTTATTTCAGTTTAAATCATTATTCTGTAAAATTACAATTTTTGTAATCATTAAGAGATTATTACTCAAATACAGTAACAACTGAATTAATAATTTAATAAACAAATTATAATTAATTG